CAAACTTTGCAAAACTGAAACAATGACACCTCTTTTTTCTTTTGAAAGTCCCACCTCGACAGTTCTTTACCTTTCCTCTCTTTGGTAGCATTCAATATCCTTACACTCTCTCTTTTTCTTTCCTGCTTCAATTTGCTTGATGCCAATTGGAGAACTATTTTACATTTTAGAGATTATGGAGATTAATTACTATAAATTTAATTTATTAGGCAGGTGAGTGATTGGATTGCAACACCTTGTATTGGAAGGGTATTTCTGTGACAAATGATGGTGTCCATATCCTAACAGGGGTCTAAGGCATAACATGGAAGGCATAAAGCATGAATGTAGGCATTGGGGGTACCTATAAGAAGGTATAGAAGATAGTGGGGTTTCTTCAGGTCAAAGAGGCACATTTCTTTACCCTTTTTTTCCTATGTTAACATTTCTGATATAAGGACACACCCTCTAACTGATGCAGCCACTTAATTTACTGGTTTTTTGTTTTTCCCTGAAATTATTAATAAGTTGATGCTATGCAAAAGCCTTGCATAGAGTGAGTCTTAATAGTAAAGAAGAGAGAGAACACCAGCGGCTACCATAGGGAGGAAAGGGTAAAGATGTGGAAAATAGTTATAAATTAGACTAATATGTGCTTTATACTCAGCAAAATGTTGAAAGCAAGACATTGTTTTCTATGAGAAGCATGATGCATTCTTCATTTCTCTGACTCTGCTTCCCACTGTTTTGAAATTCAAGACTAACTGGAGTCATGTAGGTAGTACTGCTTCTGCATGAAATTTAATTAAAAGTAGCAGCACTCATTGGCTCTTCAGCTACAAGCTTCTAACATTTAATCTTGGAACCTCATTGATGTAAAGATAGTGCTTACAAGTTGTTTACATGGCTTGTGGATTGAATATTAACACTCAGGTGGGGTTAATATTAAACATAAAGTAACCCATGTCTCTGGAAGCCAGATAGGGTTGGATTTTCTGCTGAGACCACTACAAGAAAAACCTGTTATATAATCATAAAAAAGGTAAATCTCAGAGATTTTGTGGATTTAGTTCCAGACCATGATAATAAAACTAATATAAAGCAAAGTGAGCCACACAAAATTTTTTAGTTCTTCAGTGCATATAAAAGTTATGTGTATATAATATTATAGTCTATAACTTGTATAATAGCTTTATATCTAAAAATATACATACCTTGATTAAAAATACTTTTTTGATAAAAATTGGTAATGATCATCTGAGCCTCAAGGAGTCATAATCTTTTGACTGGAGGCTCTGTCATGGATGTTGATGGCCACTGATCAGGGTTGTGGTGCCTGAGACATTTCTTAAGATAAGACAACAAGCAAGTCAATGAACATATATTATCTTCTGTTCTTGGAAGATTTCTGTCCAGCATTCAATGATGTTTGATTATATTTTAACATTAATAGAACATCTTTTGAAGCTGAAATCTATCCTCTTCACTGCTGCCACTGATTTAGCAACTATATTTATTTAGTATTATTATAAACCCTTTAACCTTTGTTGTCATTTCAAATGCACAGCATCGTCAACAGTATGAATTCCATTTTAAGAAACTAAATTCCTCATGCATTTAGATTTTTTTATCATGAGATTGCAGTGATTCTTAAATCACATCCCCAGGCTTCACTTCAGATTCTAGCTCTTCCTCTACTAATGTCTTGAACCCTGCCCCCACCCCCATTAAAATCATCCATATGGGTTTAAATGAACTTTCCAAATTCCTATTTTTTTTCCTTTGTATTGAGGACCAGATTCCTCTTAAAGTTGCTATTTTGACCTCCTCCCAGGAATTATGAATGATACGGGCATCTGGAATGGTGAGTCTTCTCCAAAAGGTTTTCGACTTTCTTTGCTCAGATCCATTAGATAATTAACAATCTGTGGCAGTTATAGCCTTAGGAAGTTTATTTTAGAATGATAAGATTTGTAAGTTAAAATCACTCCTTGATACACATGCTGCAGAATGCATGTTGTGCTAACAGGAATAAAAACCACATTAAACTCGTATATCACCAGACCTCTAGGGTGACCAGATACATTGTCAACAAGCAGCAATGTTTTGAAAGGAATCTTTTCTGAGTGGTAGGTCTCAATAGTGAATTTAATGCTTAATGCATTCAGGAAATCATTTTGTAAAAAAAAAAAAAAAAAACTTTGTCGTCAAAGTTTTGTTGTTTCATTTACAGAGCACAGAGTGTATTTAGTATAGTCTTAAGATTCCAAAGAGTTTTCAGAATGCTAAATGAGCATTGGCTTCAAATTAAAGTTATCAGTTGTATTAACCCCTAACAAGAGAGGCAGCCAGTCTTGGAAGCTTTGAAGCCAGGCATTGACTTTTCTCTAGCTATCAAAGTCTTAAAAGCCTGTATTGTCCACACTGAAGATCGGTTGCTCAGTGTGGCCACTTTTACCAAAGAGACTAACTGATCCTCTAGATAACTTGCTGCAACTTTTTCATCAGCACTTACTGCCTTACCTTGTTATGGAGACAGTTTCTTTCTTTAAATCTCATGACCCAACTTCTACAAACTTCAGATATTTCTTTTCTAGCCCCTCTCCCAGATTTCATAGGATTGAAGAGAATCTTGTTCTGAATTAGGCTTTGGGTTAAGGGAATATTGTGGCTGGTTCAATCTTTTATCCAGACCACTAACACCTTCTCCATATCAGCAGTAAGTCTGTTTTGATTTATAACATTCACTGGAGTTGCACTTCTAATTTCCTTCAATAACTTTCCTTTTGCATCCAAGACTTGCTTGGCTAACTTGCACAAGAAGTCTCGGTTCTGGCTTCTGTTGTTTCTTGCCATGCCCTTTTCCCTCAGCTTAATCATTTCTAGCTTTTGATTTAAAGCAAAGAGAGGTGTGACTGTTTCTTTCACTTGAACACTTATAAGCCATTGTGGGGTATTAATTGGCTTAATTTTAATATTGTTGTGTCTCAAGGAATAGGGGGTCTTTGGGGAGGAAGAGTGAGAGGAAGTTACTAGAAGAGTCGGAACACCTAACCACATTTATCACATTCATGGTCTTATATAAACATAGTTTATGTCACCACAATTACAAGAGGGATAGCAAAGATCCTAGATCACAGATTATCACAATAGCCACAATAAAAACAATGAAGTTTGAGATAATGTGACAGTTTTCAAAATATGACACAAAAACCCCAAGTAAGGACACACTATTAGAAAAAAATGGTGTCATGTCAGTAAACTAACTTGAAGCAGTGACTACAAACCTTCAAGTTGTAAAAGACACAATATCTGCCAATAAAATGAAATGTAATAAAATGTGATATGCTGTACTCGTGATAAAAATTATTAAAAGCCTAGATTAAGGTAAATATAGTAAAAAGCTAGTTTCCCATTAGCACAGATTACATTAATTCCATAAATGTAGAGAAGAAATAACAAGACACAGTTAAATAACAGAACACACAGCGCTCCAGAAATCTTCACATTTTCATTTGTAACTGAAAGCATGGTTCAGCCTGTAGAACTTTCTCAGACCTAATGCAAATCTGTGGGACAAATTAGGAAATGAAGGTGGTATCCAGACTATACAAATAATCTAAGACCTATTTGATTATCTAGATGTCAGAAGAAAAATCAGCTGGGCATGGTGGCACATGTGTATAATCCCAGTGACTTGGGAAGCTAAGGCAGGAGGGTCACAAGTTTGAGGTCAGCCTTAGCAATTTATTGAAGCCCTAAGCAACTTAGTGAGACCCTGTTTCAAAGTAAACTGTACAAAAGACGAGGGATGTGGCTCAGTGATTTAGTATCCCTGGATTCAACTCCCAGTACCAAAAAAAAAAAAAAAAAAAAATTAAAGTTTCCTGTGTTTGGTAGTGTTTCTGAAAGTTTCCTATGTTTGGAAGTGTTTCTGACTTTGAGTGTTTCTGATAATTTTAGTTTTCTACATTTTTGTTTTTGTTTACTTTCTATGACTGCTATTTACTGGGAATGTGGACTAGAACTTTGCCTCTGTTTCTAAGGAAGTGATAATTTGTAACATGTGACAGACTCCTACAAACACTTAAAAAAAAGACTGCTTAAAATAAATGTGGATGATTGAAGAGTTCAAACTGAATTCAAAGTGAGTACTAAGAAAAGCTGATTTAGGAAGTGAGGTTGAGGGACAGGAAAGGATACACAGACTTGAGGAGACTGAGAACTAGATATTGTATCCTAGGAAGGTTTGCAGAGATAGAGAGAACCATTGAGGACGGAGGGGAGCGTGAACAGAATAGAGAAATAGTCCCCAAAGACTTGCTGGATGTGTTCCTGAGTAATCAACACTGAATCTAAGGCGAGCAAAAGCAGGAATCTATAACTGGATTTCCCTCATTCTTTTCTCACTTGTCTTGTCCTAACTCTAACTTGGTCAATGGGGACAAATTTGGTAAAACAGTGAAAATGAAGGAGAGAAGGAGACAAAGTGGAGGTTATGAATAATCAATTATTGTAAGATCCGTATTTTGAGTCCTAGAGTCAAGAGAACACAGTGCTCAGGAGTGCTCCACCGTAATCACAAATCATAGCTCATGAGATAAATTTATTATCTCTCATTTTATAGATTTGGACAAAGAAAGGCAGACAGTTTGAGACTCAAGAGTCCTAATAACCTTTAAAGGTCTTATCCCAATGCTCTGGGTAAAGACCAGAAAAGTTAAATGATTTGCCAAAAATAGTTCACTTGTGGTTGAGTCAGGACTTGAGCAAAGGTCTCTGGGTTCCCAGTTCTTTGCTCCTTACCCTTCATACCCACTGCCTCAGGCAATTGCAGGTAAGCATCTCCACCCTCTTAATCAGGAAAGAGACACCACTGAGGGCTGTGCTTGTGTTTTGCAGATTCCATCTCACTAATTAGAAACGCTGAGGTGGTCAACTTTTATCACTTCCATGATTCCCAGTAATGTTTAACCTTAAGTTAAAAAAAAAAAATCTCGGAGATAAAAAGATCATGTTATCTGGCAAGTCCATTCCACCCCCAGTAGTTATTAATTTCAGAACACATCTGAATTCCTTCTCTGTGGCATATGCTTCAGGAGAGGAGCAGACAGCTCTTGACCAGGGTCAGATTTCAAATTCTTATCTCTTGGTACCAATTCCACTGCCAGTTCTTGGCAGTTAACTTTTGAAATCTGCCTTGAGTACGACTTGGTGTCTGAAGATCAGCATATTACCTGTGGTCCTCATCTTCAGGGAATCACAATCCTTCTTCTCAGGAAAACATCTGCTGTACAGAACTTTGCTTTTGGAAACATCCTCTTGCTAAGACCTGGTTGAAAGCAACGTTCCAGCATCATACTTCCCAGCATGGAGGCAAAGAGCTTCAGTGTTTGGGATTATGTTGTATTTTCAGCCCTCTTTGTCATTTCCTGTGGAATCGGAATATTCTTTGCCATTAAGGAGAGAAAAAAGGCAACATCTCGGGAGTTCCTGGTAGGGGGAAGGCAAATGAGCTTTGGCCCTGTAGCTTTATCTCTGACGGCCAGTTTCATGTCAGCTGTCACTGTCTTGGGGACACCTTCCGAGGTCTACCGCTTTGGGGCATCCTTCATTCTTTTCTTTATTTCATATACATTTGTCATCATTTTTACATCAGAGCTCTTTCTCCCTGTGTTCTACAGATCTGGCATCACTAGCACTTACGAGGTAAGAGAACTGCACCCTTCTCTGAGCACAAGTAATTTCTCTCCATTTGAATGATTTTTTTATCCTGTTTTCCCCTCTATTAATACACATCATCTTTGCAACAAAGATCAGTAGTTGAAGAACACTCACTGATTTTTTTCAAAGCAATTACACATTATGAAAAAAGACATTAAATTATATTGGAGAAAAGCCTAAGCTCTGGCTGCACCTATACCTGTTTTCACCATTGTAGAATAGAAATGATGATGTGTGGCTCCCTCAGGGCTGTTTGGATGATAAAATTACCACCTGTCTGTGAATACCTGATGCATTGTCTAGATTGTGGGAGGTTCTTAAGAAAACAGAGTTGTTTTTATTTGTATTATTATTATTAGCATAATTATCCTGAAAAACAAGCAAAATGTATGCCACAAGTATTATAATTTTCCAGCTGAGAAAATGGAGATACCAATAAGTAAGTTAGTCATGATTTAATAGTGCTAAAAGTCTACTGAGAACCTATTTTGTCTATATCCCTCTGTAGTGTTATTCCAATCAGACAGTAAACTGAACATTTTAGTACTTATTATTTCTTAGGTCCAAGATTTAATTAGGAAATGGTAATATTTTGAAAAATCAGCAAATATTTTAATTGGAAGAAATTGCTAACTAATAAAAATATGGGAATTATTTTAATGAGAGGAAATGAGACAGTGGAGTTTGGGTTTTTCAAGCATTCTCAATGAAAACATTGTGTTCAAAATTGAATTTGTATGTCTATAATTTAATTGTGATCTCATAAATAAGTTTTTATGAAGAAAGTATTTATTTCCATTATCCAATATCACACCCTACCAAGTTACAGCAGAAGATTCATAAATGACCTATCTTTAAGAATTTTGCAAACTAAATGAGTATAATAAAATGATTCTCTTGACTTCTGGATGCAATCAGCAAATGAACACTTTTTAGAAGGTCTTAAATCCTATGATTCCATAGATGATCATATTCCAAATTGTCAACATTAACTTCCTCTTTTCCCAAAAGAAGGTACTCAAATTTGGTTCATTCAATAGCTAAGTCCTGGGGTGTAGATTCAAGAGAAAATAACTAAATTTATGATTAGTACCAGAAATGTACACATTTCCCCTTGCTTATTAATATACTTCTGAAAATATAACTATGTGCTAAGCGTTTGCATTCAACTTTCAAGATTTGACTCACAAAGACATTGCTATTTTTTTTAAGCAATACTATGCATTAGAATAACTGCCTACTTAACAGCTAAGGAGAGAAATAGAGAAAACTTGGGGCCTGAAAATATAAGTTCAATTTTTCTTTACCAATAAGATCACTTTGTGTGCAAGTTACTTAGCATTTCTCAATTCCATTTTCCACATGGAATATAATAATTCCCATCTTTCATGAAGGTTTAGTTAAATGTGAAGAAGCTTTTCATACGGAGATGTAGTTCAGTGGTAGAATGCTCGCCAGGCATGCATGAAGCCCTGAGTTCAGTCCCCAGTAACTAACTCACACACACACACACACACACACACACACACACCTTTTTAAATAATAAAAATCTACCCTCATTTGGAATATAATTTTTATGACTATCCATTTGTTGAATAAATACCATTGAATATCTGCTATGTTCTCTGCACTTCTTTAGGCCCTGGGAATATAGCAAAGAATCAAATTTTCCTTATGATATCTACTTCATAGCAAAAGTTGTCAACAAATGCCTAAGACAGCATAATGCAGATTTATGTGATATTTAACTATGTGCTAAGCATTGCTCTAAGTATTTTATGTCTCAACTTAGCCTCAAAACAGTCTTTTTAGATAGGTACTGTTATCATCAGTCCAATTTAACAGACTAGAAAACTGAGGCACATGGGGCCAAGTAATTTGTTCAATGTCACACAGCTATCAAGTGGGAGTTTTTCAAACCCAGATAAGTTAACTTTAGAGACCACATACTGAATCACTGTGCTACTTTGCTTACCATAGCAATAGAGGGAAATGAAATGACAAGAGAAAGAATGCCAGTTTGGGTGGAGAATGTAATTCATAAAGGGCTATCAAATAAAATTTCCATGTTAATAGGGCATTTAAGTAAGAAAGTGATTGTGCCCTCTTGGAATGCTGCCCTGATTCTGCTATGTAAGAAGAGTGGCATAACAGGTCTAGCCTCTATAGCACAGGTGGCCACACAAAGGAGAACTGAGACTCGATAGCTGACAGCCAACACCAGGCTGTGAGTCGCACAACTGCCAGACCTGAGAGAGGCCATCTTAGACCCTCTGTCTCAGTTGATCATCCAGCCGATTGCAGCCACATAAGAAACCTGGTGAAATGGGTAGCGGAACACCAGTTTGTCCTCAGTTGTGATAAATAATAATTCTTTAGATTTTCAGCACATCAGGTTTTGGTGGGTGTTGCATAGCAATGGCCAACTGATTAAATGCTTTGACATGCAGTGGGAGTTCAAGACTAAGAGATGCCATCTGTGCTCCTTTCCCACCACCCTGTCCAATAAAGAGCATAAGGACTTATTCCAACCCCATGGGATAAATTAGGTTTAGCTCATTTGCAATATCATACATTTTCATTATCTCTACTTGGATAGTTTATAATTAGTCTCCTCGTGTTATCTCTATTTCAGTCAAGGTTAACTCCATCTTTTTTTATACTAAAATTATATTGCCTGCTATTTACCCTGAACACTAGTTTATAAGCTAGTATCTGTTTTTTAATTTTTCTTGAACTTCTTAGCTTTGATGGCTTCTGAACTACTTTTTAATTTCTGAACAAAGGTTTTCATTATGCAGAAACTGTGACTTTACTAGTCTTCTTGTATACTGGTTTCTGAGCACTTATTCATTACATAATTTTTTTGGTGAATTTTTGGGTTCTCTACTAAATTATATTTTGTGATATTATTCTGATAATATTTGTATTTTGATAAATCAAATATCTAAAATAATATTATCATTGAAAATTATTTCAGCATAGTAGATAGTATTAAAAATATTTGTTGTATTTAGGTTCTGATAGGATGTAAACCCATATCATGAGGCCTTTTGGGTCATTGTAAGGATGAGCATTTACTATTGGTGAGATGAATCATTATAATATTTGGGTAGAGGAGTGACATAATGTAATTTATATTTTAAGATTTTTACTCTAGTTGGATGTTGAGAATAAGTTGGAAGGTTTTTGACTATGGTAGAAGATGGGACTAAGAATCTGTTTCCATAATCTGCCCACGAGAAAATATTAATATTTTGTTTATACAAGAGATAATGCAAATGGATATGTTCTGATATTGGGAGTATATATACCAGGATTCTTTCATGAATTGAAAATGAGAGTGAGAGAAAGCACTAAATGTTGGTTTATTTTATGTGGACTTAAACCAACATAAAAAAGTGAAGTTGCTACTTGCTGAGATAAAGATACAGCAGGATAATATTTGGGATTCTAAAACAATCACCATGATGATAAATAAATGTCCCCTGATATTTTAAAAACCAGGCATGAAGTATGCAATTTTGCTGTTGAACTTTTGTTTTTTTTTTCTTTTTACTCTACTAATACTTATATACCACCAAAGACAACTATTAATAGTATGAGCAAATACATTAAAAGGAAAAATACAACTTTTACTGTCTTTGTGTGTGTATGTGTGTGTGTGTGTGTGTGTGTGTGCGCGCGCGTGCTTGGGATTGAACCCAACTGCATAGTACCACTAAGCTACATATGCAATTTTTTTTTTTTTGAAAGGACATCGCAAAGTTGATGAGGTTCTCCTCAAACTTGCTATCCTCCTGTCTCAGCCTCCAAAGTTGCTCAGAGTAAGGTGTGTGCCACGTTCATTTAATACATTTTTACAGATATGTAATAATGCAGTTGAAAAGTCTCTTCTGCTTTGCAGATGAGAAAACAGAAGCTTAAATCACAGAATGAAATATCAGCAAATATGAAACTAGAATTCAAGGACTCTGACTTCTGATCTACTTCTTTTTGCACATACCCTTTTCTGAATACCACTTCTCTAGTGTTACTGAATGGACCAAAACTAAACTGAAATGTAAAATCCATTGGCTTCCAGATCCTACAGCAGTCTCCTCCCAGCTTTCCCATTTTCCAGGAAAGCTTTCCCAGGCCTTAGGAACTACCCAGTTCCCAAAATAGATAATGTACTTTTGGCTTTTGTTACATCTTCCTGTTTTTGTTACTAATTTTTATATCATTTATCTAATTTCATGCAGTATATCAACCCCAAAATCAACTTTTAAAATCAGCAATTTTATTTGTTCAGAATTCCAGGGATAAACCATTTTGCCTACCTCAACTGGGCCTCATACAATAGTAAGGTTCTTCTGCTGGCTCATGTGGGCAGTCTTTGTGACTTCACTCAGGAACTGAGTTGGCCAGGGGCCTGATGCTCTAGAGAAACATGGCTGAGACAGCTTCTTTGTGTTATATTTGGTCTCATCCTCCAGAAGACTATCCTGGGTTCATTATGTGATTAATGAGTTTGCATTATATTATATAGATAAATATCACTGTCTTAAGTTTGCATTTCCCCAGAGGCAGATCCTGACATAAGGTGTGAATGGAAGTCATTTGGATCATTACTGATTCCAGTAAGCACTGGCAGGCAAGTGGCAAAGTAATTATGGAAGGAGAGGAAATCCATACAAGGTGTGTTTTTGAGCAAGTTATCACTGTGATCTGCTGGGATTCAGTCTCCCTGGGGATCTCTGGAAGACAGGACAGACTGTGTCTGAGTTATCCTTTCCGAAAGGCAAAGAAGCCAGTGCATTTTCTCTCCACCTCCCTTTAGTCATTGGCTGAATGCCAGTGATGACACCCCCACACACTTCTGACCTTGCTGGAGCAAAGGCTGATAGAAAGCCTACAACAGACAATAATAGGTGCTTTTAGATGCAATTTACATGTACTGGGACACTGAGTGCCGATAAGCTGTGCCTGTTGCACCCACACTGATGACTATGGTCCTAAGATCCCACTGCATTCTTAGCCCTGTCCTTGGCTTGGTCACACACTATGCCATTGTCTTCTCTGAAGTGTCTCTCTTGGGAAGGGAAGCCCATGGTTTAGTGTAGTAAGCTTATTTTCTGAAAGACATGTAGTCTGAACCCAAGCTGTCATTATCACAAAAGTTTTCCATCCTGTGATATTTGAGTTTTTTGCCTCCTCATTGACTTTCCCTACCTCTGCAAGAATATTTCTTTACATACAGTTTCCTAAGTCTCACAATCACAGACTAGACTCCGAGTCCCAGTCTCCTTGTACCATCTGGAAAGACTGGCCTGAAAATAAACTGAGAATTTGGACACCTGGACGAGTAAATTTTGAAGTGTGAGCTAGTGTGAAACTGAGTTACAGTTCTATCAAGAGTTCATTGTTTCAAAGAAAGGTCCATTTTAAGCCATGGAACATTATATATCTTTTCTAGGAAAAGGATAAATCATTAGTTAAACCATGACTTAATAAAAATGATTTTCCTTAAATTCAGAGAAGACAACATACTAAAAGCAAAACAACAATGAAGAAACTGAATCCTAAAGTCATTTGCTACTTTTAAAATTTATTTTGCTCACTCTATATGCATTGGAAGATATATACTCACATTATCTAGAACACTTACTCAGAAAAACCTTCTCTGACCTCCAGCAGTGACTCACACCTTGCTGTTGAGTGGGTTCACAGCTTCTGTAACTCTTCCTTGAATACTATTAAAGGTGCAATTTTATTTTTATTACTATTTGTTAATAATTGCCGTATCTAATCTGTAAGATCTTCTAGGATGTAAACTATATCTTGTTTGCTTCTTGTACATATGAATGCAATGTAGAAAGCAGGAAACGAGTATATATTAAATGCATCAACATACAAATTACAAAGATAAAAATGAGTAAACTAGAACACTATGTACATACGTTAGCATGAGTAAATTTGGTTAAAAAAGAATCACTGCCCCCAAGAGTGTGGGGGGTGGGGGGTGCATGCATGCACATGCATATGTATCCTTAATACTTCAAATCTGTAATATCTCAGATGGTCCAAAAAAGGGAAGAAGTTGGTCTTCACAAATGTGATTAAATTAATATCTTACATTACCCAAGTATACCATAAATAGGAATACAATCTCATGTACCTTTATGTAAGACAGAGAGAAACTTGACTGAAGCTAAGGCATAGTGACTACAGAGGCAGAGATTAGAGTGCTAGAATGGAAATTGAGGATGACCAGAAGGTTCACAAACTAGAAACATTCTTTCTAGAGACTCCTGAGGAAGCACAACCTGCCAGCACCTTGATTTTGGCTCAGTGAATGGACTTTGGATTTCTGGGCTTCAGTAATACAAGAGAATACATTTCTATTAATTTAAGCTTCCAAATTGGTGATAATCTGCTGCAGTACCCATAGGTAACTAATTCACTAGCAACTTTTAAATAAGTAAATCCAACACCAAATTACCAGAGACTGGTAACCATGAAAATGGTTTAGCATATGTGCTGTAGGAGCTCAGAACAGAGGGTCTAAGAAGAATAAGAATAGCCATTGAACCATTTTTTCTTGAGAAATTATGAAGAACTTGGAGACAAACTTGAAATTTGAAGAGAGAGACTCTTACATTGAAAATTCTGCCTACACAAAGGAAAGGTGGTATGTCTTAAGCAAGGTAGGTTTGAGTCAGACAAAAGAGGGGATGGAATATCAAGCTTGAGATGTGGACTTTTTTTTTTTTTTGGTCAAAAATCACTAAAGTTTTTGAGGAAAAAAAATGCCCAGGTAAGAACATTGTTTAATAGTGATGGTGGCAGATATGAGATGACGAAAAGCATGGACTAGTCTTGGTATTGGGAGATCAACCAGAGGATTACAGCAGTAATCCAGAAAAGAATAAAAAACTGAGATAAATATGGAACTTAGGGACATAAAGGGAAACTGTCTTCAGTGGATCCAGTAGGAAAATACCTGGGCATAAAGTCAGAAGGCCTGTGCTTTATTCAAGCAACCAACTTATCTTTTCTGGCCATCACGAGAAGCATGAGCGTGAATTGGGTTTTATTACATGTTTGACTTTTAACAACCCATGTTTTTTCCCCTGTTGCTTCCAGAAATACCTACTATAAATCACACTGCAAGTCTAAAGCACTAAACTCAGAGGAATACCAAGTCAAACAAGGACCTCCTTAACAGCTCTTATCTAAAACTCATCGCATGTCTCTTTCTCTCTCTCTGTCCCCTCTAGTATCTACAACTACGATTCAATAAAGTGGTTCGCTATGCAGCAACTGTCATCTACATTGTGCAGATGGTAAGGGGCAGTGGCTGCTGCAGAAGTGGGAACCAGGGGTTCCAAGATACATTTACAGGTGTTTTTTTTTTTTTTTTTAATGGGGCAATTAACTCAACTAAAGGTCAAACACTACTAAGAAGTCACTACTTTCTTCCAAAGAAACGTGATTACCTTGAGAGCCATTCACATTGCTAGAATCCATACATCTGGACTAATAATAAGAACAAGTATATATTATAAGTCACAAAAGGGAAAAATCGCTACAAGTATATTTTACTACTATTTAACCAAATTTTTTCTTTTTCTTTTTTTTTTTAATGGTTAACTGAGCTGAACCAGAAATGCCTGTTTTTTTTTGTTGTTGTTTTGTTTTGTTATTGTTGTCGTTGTTGTTGTTTTAAGGTCACTGTAAAACAATTTTCCTAACCAATATACCTAATTCCCTCCCATGCACTCCTTTCCCACCCTCCAGGCTCTGGGGTGCCTTCATTCTCCCCAAGCTCACCCTGGACACAGTGGTGAATTTCCTCCCATTGACCAAGTGCTCTTTTCTACAAGGTGACTTTCCTTCTTAATTAGAGTTCCCACTGATGCCAGAAGGATTTAAGCAAGAGAATAAGAAGAAAACAATGCCTCTTGAACTGCCTACACATATTTGCTGATGGCAACCCTCAGATGCCATCTCCAAATGGTGGAAGTCCATTTAAAATAAGATGTGAACTGAACCCATTACATCAGTGTAGCAATCACAATTCCATTCTGTGAATTAGATGGTGTTCATTACATACCAGTCCCCCTGTTTTAGTCTCTCTTAGAGTTCTTTCCTCTCACATTCCCCCAACTGCCTAATCTCCACTCTAAAGTCCATATTTTAGCAAACTGCTGAAATGTGCTTCTATTCTTTAGTAAAGTTTCTCATGAAGTCAGCAGAGAACCCTTTGTGATGGGCACATGAGGGGAGTGGGTAGAGGGAAGTTGAATCAAAAGCTGAACTTGAAGCCTGTGTTTTTGTATTCTTTAAAAATACACCAAATGTAACGATGACATCTCAAAATGAGCAGTCATCTTGAAAATCCACCCCTCTTCTCCCATCTCATGATTACACCCCTTCTACAAATTAGTTACAGTGTTAAATTACTTCAACATGAGAGTGGATGAGAAGGGAATGTTTGGTAAGCACGTTGGAGGAAGGTCAATAAAGAGCTTCTGGGCAGTTTTCCTTCCATGGCTCTCCCCACTGCTACTCACCTCCTTCTTATTCTCTACCAGATTCTCTACACAGGTGTGGTGGTGTACGCTCCCGCCCTGGCACTCAATCAAGGTGAGTCTTCTATGTTCCCATGGACATAGTCTACTACTTTTATGCCTGAATTCTCAGCTTGAACAAATGTATGTAAAATACCCTGTTAGAAGAATATCACTCTGCTTAAGATGCTCTGAATTACTGTGGTAGTCGCTCCATAAAGCTCTAAAAAGATGATTTGACATAGAAAATAATGCAAACAATTAGCTATTGGACTTTGCCTTGCAAAACTGGGTAGTTCTAAACACCCAGTTCAATCATTTTTATCATTTGGGTTTTTCATTTTGTTTTTTAATCATAGAAATGATGGTATTCTGGGTATTATATGCATACAACTGCTAAGTAAGTTCCTCTATATGTGGTCATGTTTCAGTGACTTCATGAAGTACATAATCTGAGCACAAGAAGAAAGTTGTCTGTAATAGTCATACTGTGATAAATAGTTGATCCTTTCAAGAAAATAGAATCTTAGAAGCAAGAGTGATTTTTTTTTTTTTGCAGTGACATTGCCACTTTCAACAGAGAGTCCTTAATGTTCTAACTAATTGGGCTATGTGTTTATACTGAGAAATTTTAATTACTCGTGGATGCCTAGGTGGTTTTAGATTACTCAAATTTCATTAAGACAAAACAAAAGACATACATCACTTGAACCAAAGATGGAAGTTAAAGAATCTTAGGAGAAAAAAATTAAATAGTATATGAATTTTGTGGATTGGTTTAAGATATAAAAATGTAATAAAAATAATCTTTATCAGAGCTGAGAAAATTCAATGAGATGAATTCGATTTATTTTTGCCCACACAAAAAAAAAACAGTGAAAAAACTACTGTGATTCTTTCCTCATAAAATTTTCTCTTCTACTTAGCTCAGAGAAATTTCTTTTAATGTTTTTTTCTCCTTTCATAGTGACTGGGTTTGATCTCTGGGGCTCTGTGTTTGCAACAGGAATTGTTTGCACATTCTACTGTACCCTGGTATGTATCTAGTTGGGAAAAATATTAAACACTCCTCCTAATTTGGAATAAGGGCAAATTTCCAGCAGCAGGCCTTCAAATTACAGCTGTAATTGCTATCCCAAAATTAAATAGCAGTATATTGGCTTATATGCCTTAGTTTCCTGAGGAAGGTATTGTTTTTCTTCTTCTTCTTCTTCTTCTTTTTTTTTTTTTTTTTAATCAGACATTAGGCAAATTTGAAGTCTGAGTTCACTCAAGTATGTTATTCCTAATGAAAGTTGATCTAATGAAAGACATACCTCCTTGATCAGAGGACAGAGCCCAGGTGACCCTGTGCAACTTCTAAGAATAATTTTCTCCTTAACAGTTTTCATAAATCATAGGTAGCATTCAATTGTTCACTGTCTGCCAGTTGAAAAGCAGCAAAATACATGCATGATTGAGCAAGGATAGTTAGTATTTTATAAACATAAGGATTCCACAGTTATTTTGTCTCTCATTTATAGATAACTTAGATTATATTTAACATTTGTCTTTACACATGCTTATTTTTTAATCAAGGAATCTGGCTGGTATTGATAGCATGTTTGTACAATTATTATAATTAGTTGATTTTAACAAATAGTCATTGAGCACTTATTATTTGCTCATCCCCTGCAACTGGAGGCTTTATTCTTCTGACTCATCACACCATTTTCTGGCTAAATGTAACCAATTAAGAATATGGTGGTGGTTCCCAGATAGAGGGATTCTCCTTCCTCCTTTACAAAGAAAAGTAAAATTGTTGATACATTATCATAGAGTAGAATATGCTTACAACACATATATTTTGTAACACATATATGATAATATACAATTTAAACTGCTCTTGTTTCTCTTTTTCATACTTGAAATTTCCACAATTTCTACACATTTAAAGTTTTATCTTCATCTTTTTTTTCTATCACATTAACACTATAGTATAGCAAGATACTATGAGTGAATATTAGCAAAACAACAGATGAGATTTAGCCTGTCGGGATTAGCATACATTGGCATTGCAAGATACTGAATAAAGAATAGATTTGCCAAAAGGACTTAATAAAGAAAGAATACAATTTCAAAGCCAAGCAAGCATCAGCAATAATCAACAATGTACCAATTATGATAAAAGGAGATACATTTGAAAAGTCATACAATTTCTATACCAGAAGATATATCTGAAGAAATGACAGAATATTTCAGAAAGACAAAGAGATGCAGAAATGAAAGAGAAATGGGGTCATATAAAAGATAAATGTGAACATCTAATTTATGTGCCATTAAAGTCTCAGAGAATAATATAGAAAGAATGAAGGAGATTTCAAAACATTGTAACTCAAAAATTTTCAGAACTGTTAAAAGATAAAAATCCATAGAATTAAAGAAAAGTACAAATTTAAAGGATAAAAAGAAAAAAAAAGACCTGAATGTATTAGTGAAATTATAGAATAGTAGATATTTAAGAAAAAAAAAAGACCTGAGCAAGAGCCAGCAAGAGGAAATAAATTGTCTATCAAGGGATGCTCTTGGCACACTTCATAGCAGCAACAGTAGATGCCAGAGATGCTGGAATAGTATTTTCAAACACATGAGGGCAAATAATTGTCAACCTATAGTTGTATTTTCAATAAAACTGTCTTTTAAGAATTTAATATCAAGAACCAAGAGAATTTGTCACTAACAGCTCTTCCTCCAAGAAAACACTAAGTACTATGGGAAGAAGGAAAAAAGTCTTCCAGTTTTAAGTGGAAGAAGTCATGATTAAGAAGTAAATTACAGGGCTGGGGTTGTGGCTCAGTGGTAGAGCACTTGCCTAGCATGCATGAGGCACTGGGTTTGAACCTCAGAACCACATAAATGTGAAATAAAGATATTGTGTCCACCTAAAGCTTAAAAAAATAAATATTTAAAAAAATTTTAAAAAGATGTAAAATACAAGAAGAACTCGCTAACTCCAAATTCCAAAATCCAATTTTTTTTTAAAATGTGAAACTTTGTGTGTGTATACATTATCTTCAAACAATTTTGGATGTTGGAGCTTTCATTTCAAATTTTGGATTTTTCAGGTTAAGGGTATTCAGCTGAAAAATTTCATACAAATATTCCTAAATCTGAAAAACACTGAAATCTGAAATGTTTCTGGTTGCAAACATTTTAGATATGGGATACCTGTAGTAAATATTTAGTAATTCTAGTCAATTGTTATTTAATATTGTATTTGCTTACAATATTAAATTGCATAATTATTTATGATATAAAATATATGAAAAATAATCATTCATTTGTTTTTATATAATTTTGGGATTAAGCAAAAGAACAATTCCCAAATTGTCCAACAGTAGCATCTAAATCAGGTAGCAAATAACCAGGTTTATAGGTTTATACCGTTTGAATTGTTGGGGTTTATGGCTTTAAGTTTTTCACTCTTAAATTAAAAATGTATGGAAAAGTTTCAAGGTTTATAGGTTTATTCCATTTGAATTGTTGGGGTTTATGGCATTAAGTTTTTCACTCTTAAATTAAAAATGTATGGGAAAATTTCAAGGGAATCTCTTTAAATAAAACAATCTGAAAAAATGGAATTTAAATAAAAACACTCAATTAATCTAAGCATCTGCAGGAAAGAGAAAAACAGGCACAGAAAATGTCGAGACCCCTTTTAGTACAATATTTAAAAAGAGTCTGAGTGTTTTAATGAATAAAATGAAATGAATTAAATTTGCTACCTCCTAACTGGCTTCATGTCTCCAATCTGTTTGCCTCTGTCAGATGAATCTTCCTCAGACATGTATTTCTTTATACCACTTCAGTAGCCTAATTCTCTTCTTGCTTCCTATTGTTTGTAGCATAAAGAAAAGCTTGTTAACCTAGAGTTGAAAATATTTCATGAAGTGAATCCAATCTGCCCATCTCAGTTTGCCTCACCACACCTCTGTGCCATCTCTCCTCTCTAGCCATGTTAAAGGCTTCTGTGTCTCACCAGCATGGGGCCTATTTATCTAATACCTGCATTCATACAGTGAGCTCTTTATTGTGATCCTCTAGTGGATGATCCATGTGGAAAATAACCAGAGGAAAGTATTTTAAAAATAAGTGATTCCTGCCATACAGAGGGTTGCCATTTAGTGAGGTGGATATTAGATTCAAATCAACAAAGTTTGATGAGAGAGAGGAGCCAGAAACTTGCTGTATACAGGAGTCAGAGAAAACTTCATGGTGACTGTAATCTGACTCAACGACTACTTGATAAAGGAGTTTGTTCTTTTGCATGTGTAGCTAATGCTCAAGTTTGTGCAAATTTTTTGCATAACCAATGCCAAATAATCTCTGAATACTGAAGCCTTTGGTATTGGGTCTTCATGTGACTAAAATCTAAAATTGACATTTGAGATTGGAAAGCAGAACATCTTTAAAGGAAATCAAGATAGAACTATCTAGGAGGGAGGAGGTAAAAATTTTATTGTTTCTCAAAACATGATTTAGACAATATATTAGACTAACACATGCCTTTATCAGGGATTTTTTTGTTTCTTTAATCAAATTTTATTTTTAATTACAAAAGAAATGATGGGACAACCATCATCAAAAATATGTTTTTTTTTTCCCTTCTCAAGTTAAAGATAAAGCATGTCATCTTTTCACAGAAGTTCTTGACACTCTGGAGGAGTAACTGGGGATGATAATTCTACTTTTCAGTGTTAAAAATATCACATCCTTCATTTACCTAGAGCTTTTCATTAAAAAAAAAAACGCTTTTTAAAATATGTTGCTTCATTTAATTTTTCCCTATTAGCTCACCCCATCTTCACTATCGTGGGATTCTATGCATTCTGTATGGTGGGATTCTTAAGGGCTTCTATACATGGAACACTAAATGCAACAGTGTCTTTTTCCTCCTTTCTTCTTATGGTCAGGTTATCAGGTAAAATTCTACATTAGAATCCATTAGGGAGTTTCAAAAGACATTGAGGACAAACCCCTAATACAGACCTCAATTAATTCAGAAACCCTTTTAAATCCCTCTGGTGATTCTAGAGGGAAACGTGGCTTCATAACCACTGCTCTGATCTCTTGCATAATTATTCTATACAAATTCTACAACTAAATTTGCCTTCCTTAAACTCTAATTTTTTTTACCTTCCTACTGGATCATCCTGTAGCTCTTAAAACTCCTTCCTTCATGGATATATAGAATCCAACATTCCTTTCTAGGTTTTTATTCTTTCTCAGTATTTGACTATCTCCATTTCCCAAAGTGTTTTCACTGCCGCTAGTTTCATAAAAACAAACAAACAACAACAAAAAAAAGAGTCCAAGTTATACAAGTCATACCAAGAGATTATTCTTAATTCCCTTGCTTATATAATTGCTTATATTTAATGAATCATAAGCTATTTCTTGAATATCCTTCAATCCATACCCTTACCCTACTTCAAACTGTTGACCTTCTTGGGCATGGACTTCAGGAATAAACTCTGATCTGGTCTCCTGACACCTTGTCTTCTATAGTCTTACAATTCATTATCCACACAACCACCAATGGAAATATTACCAAAAAAACCCTTTTATCAATCTCTTTTTAATGATATTTCCTGGAAATTGTGAATTTTTTAAGTGTACTTATCAATATCTATCTGCTTGACCTCGAGAGAATTCAGAGGTTCCCCCTTTAGGCTCTCCACAGCTTGATTGTGTATATCTAAGTTTTCTTTCATTTCCTTGAGGACCAATGTTTCTTCTTTCTTCATACATGTTGGTTTGATCCCCTCTTGGTCTTCTGTGCCTGACAAATTTTTACTTATTCTTCAGAATTTAGTTTGTCTATCACTCTGAAAGAATTGGTTCAGACTTCCTGCTGTATGCTCCAATAGTAACCTGTTCTTAATTGCATGTTCCATAATTTTAAGTTATCATATTACTATAAAATATCTGCTTCTTCCATTAGATTTTGAGCTCAATGAAATTAAGGAAGAAACATAGTTATACGGCTGCTTTAATTTGTTGTGTTCTTCTATAGTGTCCGTAGTTCTAAAAGTTGATTGGTGGTTTCTTAGTGGTTAGTATATTTTTCACTTACAACTATTCTCATGTTTAACAAAAAATTTGACACATAAAAGATGCTCAGCAACTGTTATTGAACAAATGAAATGATTGCATTAGTAGGAAAACTGTCCGGAGTGGGGAGCTTTACAGACCCTGCTTTTAACACTTTACATCATTCTGTTCATTTTAGGGAGGATTAAAAGCAGTGGTGTGGACAGATGCGTTTCAGATGATTGTCATGATTGTGGGCTTCTTAACAGTTCTCATTCAAGGATCGGCTCACAATGGTGGATTACAAAATGTATTAGAGCAAGCAAGCAATGGATCCCGACTTCATATAGTTGAGTATGTCCAATGCTACTTTTTAAGGCATTATAAAGATTTAATTGAATGGCCTCATCAACTAATAATTCTAAGCATTGAATGAATTGACATTCACTCTCTTCACTGTTTCACAGTTTTGATGTAGATCCCCTCCGGCGGCACACTTTGTGGACAATATCAGTGGGAGGAACTTTTACATGGCTCGGAATCTATGGAGTTAATCAATCAACCATCCAGCGATGCATCTCTTGCAAAACAGAGAAGCATGCTAAGCTGTAAGTTATTAATCAAAAAAAATTTCCATCATTTCTTCCACTTTATTGAGTTCTTATTATATGCTTTCTACAGCTGTGCATGTATGTGAAAGAGGGAGAGAAATGGCAAGATTTACTTAAACTTTTCATAAATTTTGTGAGTTAGGCATTACTATTCCCATCTTAGCAAAGTGGCCGAGTTGGAGTTTGAATGAAGTTGGAGTTTGCTGTGGGTGGTGATGCAGAGATAAATACCTGTGTTTCTTGCTCACAGTTGCCATGATGAAATGGCTCTCATGGCTCAGCCTGTGGCTTGCTTAACTATTTTCTGTTGTGTTAAGAGGTAAATTGAGGCACAATAAAATTTAAAATGTTTATTTGAAAAAATAACAATTCACAATTCAAGATGCTTAGAAGTGTTTTGGGGATTCCACAGAGGGACTTCGAAGGGGGAAGCTCTTGAAGAATGAACACGGAAGTAAAGAAAGAAAATACTTGATTGGTCATAGTTATACGGCTGCCTTAATTTGTTCTGTTTTTCTGTAGTGTCCCTATTTCTAAAAGTTGGTTGGTGGTTTGTTAGTGGTTAGCTTTGAGTTTCATTTTTCTTTAATGTAGACATTTAGAAGAAATAGTTCAAGTGAAGCTTCACCTGTGTTTACAAATCAAGTTATGTTAAACTCCCTTATGAGGCTGGACTGCTCAGAGATTCTGTAGGTGAGGCCTAAATTTTATAACAGATGTACTTAACCTTACAGTTTCCAAGGAGAGGTTTAAAAAGAAGAGAACCTAGAACAATGTGGCAAACTGTAAAGGGACTGTAGCCACTTCTGTTCTTACTAGATTGGCTCTCTGCAGGACATGAACAGAGAGGCACACTTTGTCAAGCCTCTTTCTAGCACTTCAGGACATCATGCACTCTGGAATGGACACCAAGGGCAGTTATAATACTCTCTCAAAAAGCTTGTAGGAAAACCAGAGTTGCATCTAAAATGATGTCTTGTCCCCAGTGCTGCTGCCTAAGGCTGTAGCACCCTAGCTTTGTCAAGATGCCCTAAACTTTTCTTAGTGAAAGTGTCATTATGAATATTCCCCACATGATTTTAAAATACTTTCAACGTACAATTTCTTATTTGCACTGAATAAAACATAAAACTGTCTGGAAATGATTCAACCATTTTGTGAGTTGAGTTCCAGAAGGAGAACTGGGATATTACTACTTACATATTTCATAACTCTCATAGGGAAGTGAACACATTACCCAATGTTCTATCAATTCACTAGTAAAATATTCCAATCTCATAAAATACTATTATCACAAACCCTTTACACACATGATCATCATTTTATCAAACAGTTGCATTACTGAAAATGGAGATGGCTTTGATCTTAAAACTTATTTAAATTAAAGTTCATTAACAAACTGTCTTAAGAGAAACCAGAATTGGATGTATCTGTGAAGAGACAAATCCTTTGGTGAAACACACAATAGTTCTCTGTTAAGTTTAGTTTTTTTAATCTTATGAATATTAGTTTCTCTAGTTCACATGCTTAATTCCTCCCTATACTATACTATAGTATACTACTGGTACTTGAAAATTAGCAATTATATCTTTTTCATCATTTTTTCCCACAAGGTGCAGACTAATGTTTTATGCTTATTAAAAAATCATCATTTATTAAACAAAGTAATGCTTTAAGAAGCTTCAAGAATGCTTGTGTGTGTAAACACACATACATATTAGGAAGATAATATGTGTGTGTATACACCACATGCATATGTATACATTTTTATGTATGTATCTCTAAGCCTCACTTAGTGGGTTTGTTTGATTGAAACATACATCAGTGAAATCTCATTCATACACTGGCGTGGAACTTGAATATCTTGTATTAGCATTGGGTGTGTATGACAATTGTAATAAAGAAGAGATACTCATGAAGAAAAAAATATACAGAATTTTCTAAGCATGTAGGACTGTCACCAGATTCTGTCCATTCCCAATCTTACAAAGGGATAGAGCTGTGATGGATTTTTTTTGATAAGGAAAGATAAAAAAAATAAAATCTATTTAAGAAAAACTTTTCTGAGAGAACCTATGGTGATTTAATCGTTAGTGAGAAGTACATTTTAAGTAGACATAGCTGGAGGAGAGATTGTTGTAGTGAGGAAATAGTGGGTTTCTCAGGAGTACTTCTGGAGCTGTGGGGGGCCACTCAGGGTCAGAGGAGGACTCTCACCATCTTTGAGCACACTTTGCCCAATGCTGAGCAAAATATTCTGTTTTTGCTCAATTATCTGAAGACTAATGTAGTTGAAACATTCCAATGGGGAATAAGAAAAAAAATCTGTTACTTGGGAAAAATACATCCTGCAAAATAGGCAAGCAGAAATAGATACATAAAGTTCATATTAAATGTGGCTTCAAGCTAAAACCAGGAGTGGCTTATTATATGGGCAGTTAATTGGATGACCAAGAAGACTGATTACTTAACCAAAGACAAATTTATTTTAAGCCAGATCTTCCTTGAACCTAGAAATAGTATCACTAATCAAGTCATTTAAATGACATTTTTTTTTTCCTTTAGGCACTAGTGTATCTTTCAAGACTACTAAAAATAAATGGTGCTATGGAAGTAGGGGAAGTTGGTGCAGGATATTGGGGCCCTTCCCATCACATCCTATCCATAGCTAAAATGAGTACATGTACACACATAAAGTTGCCTGGTAAATATATTTTATGGAATCAATGAAGTTCTGCACTTGGCAAACAGGAGAATTTATTTTGTATGTAATTAAAGTCCATTTATAATGAGAAACATATTCAGAACACCATGACTAACATTCTATACAATCTTACCGTTGGTTTCTCATCTCTCATAGTTGACTGGTAAAATTATAAAATTCTTTGGTTAATGTTATGAATTTACAATCCCACCTAGAGAGAACATAAAACCTTATATTAAAATTTCAAAAATTTAATTTAGCTAAAATTTAAAAAGTTCAGAAGAAAGAAAGAATTTAAAAGCTGTAAAAGAGCACCAAATCACATATAAAGCCAAACCTATTGGAATAACAGCAGATGCATCGTGATGACATAGATAATGACAATGTATTTCAAGTCCTGAAAGAAACAGCAATCAACCTAGAATACTGTATTCAGAAAAGGTCAGCCTTCAGAATTGAAGGAGAAATAAAAATGTTCCAAGATAAGCACAAACTAAAGGAATTCGCAACCATTAATCTAGCACAGCATAAGATACTAAAAGGAATCCCACACAAAGAAGAGGTAGATAAAAAATAACCAAGAGAATATGGTAAATGATAAATCACATTAGAAAAATAAATAAGCATATGATAATTAGGAATGAATCAAATGTTAAATTTTAAAAATGACAAGAATAATACATGCTGCTCTATAATAACACTTATGTCAATGGTCTTAATTCCTCAGTTAAAACATGTAGATTGGAAGATGGGATTGAAGAATAAGACCCAACTGAATGTTGTCTCCAAGAAACACACCTCACAGGCAAATAAATCAACAGACTAAAAGTAAAATGATGGAAAATGATTTTATATGCAAATGGAATTCAAATGTAAGCAGAGTCCCTATTGTCATGTCAAACAAAGAAGACTTTAAGACAAAACTGGTCAGAAGAGACAAAAAAGGTTTATCACATTGGTAAAGGGAACACTGCAACAAGAAGATATGACAATTATAAATATTTATGCCCTGAATGTCAGTTTGCCCAATTTCATAAAACAAACATTACTAAATATAAAGGGTATAATGGGCCTAATGCAATAATTGTGGGAGACTTCAGTGTATCACTCTCACTAATAAGTCATCTACACACAAAAAAATACATCAGATTTAAATTATATTATTGATAAAACAACTTAACAGATATCTACAGAATATTTTATCCAACAATGGCTGAATAAGCTTCCATTTTAGCACTGGTTTTTCCAAAATTGATCATATTTTAAGGCATAAAATCTCAGCAAATAAAAAAGATTTGGTTTCATACTCTTTTCATATATTAAAGGAATTAAATTAGAAATTAACAGCAAGAAAAGCTATAGAAACTATGCAAATCCATGGAGAATTCATTGAACAATACACTTGAATGATTAATGGGTTATACAGTTAACCATGGTGGACATTTTAAAATTCTTAGAATTAAACAAAACTGGAAACACAATATACTAGAAGCTTTGGGGTATGGTAAAAACTGTTATAAGAGGAAAGTTTATAGCAATACATGCCTGCATAAAACAGCAGAGAGATCTCAAATAATTGAACTGCTTATTTGCAAACCAATACCAAAAGTAATAGAAATAAATAATACAGATCACAGCCAAATTCAAGAAATAGAAACATAAATAATAGTAAAACGGATTAAGGAAGAGTTAGTTCTTTGAAACTATAATCAGTTTTTTAAAGTAGCTAAAATAATGAAAACAAAACAGAAGACCTAAATAAAGTTAGAGATTAAAATGGAAATATTAGTGCAGACAAAACTGAAATCTATAGGGTCATTATAGACTATTTTGAAAACTTATATTCCAATAAAATAAAAATATTTAGTAAAAGGATAATTTTTTAGACATATATGATCTACCAAAATTAGAACAACAGGACATGATGAATTCATCAATGAGACTGAAGCAGTGACAAAAATGTCTTCCAACAAAGAAAAGCCCAGGACCAGATGGAGTCATAGCTGTATTATACTAGATCATTAAATATTAATGCAAGTACCCCTCAAATTATCCCATGAATTAGAAAAGGAGAAATGCTTCAAAACTCATTCTACAAAGCCACTATCAACCTGATAGCCAAACTCAATAAGAACACCCAAGAAAAGGAAATACAGACCAATTTCTTTGATGGATATAAATGTAAAACTCCTTAATAAAATATTAGCAAATATTCAATAATGCATCAATTGTCACACACCATATTCAAGTTGGTTTTATTTCAGGGATGCAAAGATAGTTCAACATAGGTAAATCAATAAATGTTAATTCATTACATAAATAGAAGTAAAGATAAATATCACATTATCATCTCAATAAGAGCAGAAAAGTCATTTGAGAAAATTGAACATCACTTCTTAATGAAAACAATAAAGAAACTAGGGATAGAGGGAACTTACCTCAACATCATAATGACTATATATGTCAAACCCAAAGTTGATATCATACTAATGGAGAGAAATTAAAAGCATTTCCTTTAATATGAAGAACATGTCAAGGATGTTCACTTTCACCACTCCTAGTCAACATATTACTTGAAATTTTAGCTAGAACAATTTGGGAAGAGGAATAGATAAAAGGATACTAGTAGGAATAGATGAAGTCAAATTATCTCTGTTTGCAGATAATATGATCTTATACCTAGAAGACTTGGAATTTATCACCACAAGAATCCCAGAGCTGATAAAGTAGCTGGATGCAAAACAACATATAAAGATCAATAGCTTTTCTATATACTGATAATGAATCTTTTTTAAAAGAAATTAGGAAAACTATTTCATTTTACAATAGTTTTTTTAAAAAAGTAAAATACCTAGGAATACATATTTAATGAAGAAGGTGAAAAAATGTCTACAAGTACAATTACAGAACACTGAAAAAAAGAAGTAGAAGACACTAGAAGATGAAAAGACCTCTCATGTGCATGGGTAGGCAGAATTAGTACTGTAAAATGAGCATATTATCAAATGCAATCTCCATGAAATTACCAAAGATATTCTTCAGACAGAGAATATAAGCCTAAAATTCATATCAAAGAACAAAATACCCAGAATAGCCAAAGTAATTTTGAACACAAAGAGCAATGTGTGAGGTATTGCAATAGCCAATTTCAATTTATAATACAGAGCCATAGCATCAAAAACAGCATGATATTGTCATATTTCAATGGAATAGAAGACAGAGACCAGCCCACACATCTGTAGTGATCTGATTGTTGACAAAGTGCCAAAAATATATGGTGAAGAGAGGAAAACCTGTTTTAAAAATGATGTTACAAAAATTGAATATATAAAAGTGGAAGAATGAAATGAATTCCTTCTCCTACTCCATATTAAAGTTAATTCAATATGGATAAAAGATCTAGGTGTAAGACCAGTAGCTCTGAGACTCTGAGAATCAAACACAGGGGAAACATTTCAACATGTACGCACAGTAAAAATGTCTTGAATAGAACTCCAGTTGCTCAGAAAATAGTAGTGAGTATTGACAAATGGGATTGTATCAAATTAAAAAGCTCTTGCACAACAAAGAAAACAACTAACAGAGTAAAGACATGGCTTACATAATGGGAGAAAAATCATTGCCAGCTACTCTTTTGACAAAGAATTGGTTTCCAGACTATATAAAAAAATCTGAAAAACTAAATGCTAATAACTAAATAACTTATTTGGTAAATGAGCAAGTGAACTGAACAGAAACTACTCAAAAGTACAGATGGCTAACAAATATATATAAAAAAGGTTCAACATCTTTATCTGTCAAGGAAATGAAAATTAAATCTATGCTGAGATTTCATCTCATTCTAAGCATAATGATAATCATCATGAATACAAACAATAATAAATGTTGGTGAAGAAGTAGGGAAAGAGGAATTCTGATCCATTATTTGTGAGGCTGTATATTAATATAACCACAATGGAAATCTGTATGGAGGCTCCTCAAAAAAATAAAAACAGAACAACACTATGATTTAGTTATACCACTCCTTGATATTTATCCAAAGGAATTAATGTCAGCGACTTTAAAGATATATGCATACCCATGTTTATCACAGCACAATTCATAATAGCCAAGTTATGTCCTCAGCCTAAGTATCTGTCAATAGATGAATAGATAAAGAAAATGTGGTATGTATATACAGTGGAATTTTATTCAGCCATAGAGAAGAATGAAATTATATAATTTGCAGAAAGATAGATGGAATTGTAGACCATCATGTTAAGCAAAGTGGGTTAGATTCAGAAAGTGAAATACATATGTTTTCTTTCACATGTAGGAGCGAGAATGGAAAGAAAGGAATAACATGAAAATGGAAGGGACACCGATACAGTAGAAGAAAGGGAACAGGAAAGGGAGGAGGCCAGGGTAAAATTGATAGTATTGTGTTATATGACTGCATCAGTATGCCACAATGAAACCCATCATTCTGTATAAATAAAATAAACTAACAAAAATGATTTGAACGTTTAAAAAAGAATATGAGAAAGCTTCTGACTTTCAAATGACTGGATATGAAGTAACCATAGGATTCTACAAATCTTCCAACTGGAATTATGCATGCTTGTGTCTTATAGAATAAGATGAACAGCTCCAAATAGTATAGTTAAGAGGGTGTTAAGTTTTTCATACTTTGTAGCATCTTTAAAAAATTCAACTTAAACTTTCATCTGAATTAATCACCAAAGTGAATATTTCCATAACTTGTCTATTTCTACATTATCTCATTATCCCTCTGGAAGAAAAGATGTTAAAATGTAAGTTGGTTTTTTGACAGTTTTCTGAATTGAGTAGGGGGGAAAATCACTTAAAGTTATATAATGAGATTGGTATGTGAAATTTTATCCAAGAAAATAGATCTCATACCACACATACTGAGATTTTGCAAAAGGTGGGAGGGGGAACCATTGCAATTTAAAAGAGATTCCATTTATCCATCTAAAATCTTACCTTATTCACATTTGTTAAGTAGTCTAAAAATATAAGATACTTTCACAGATGCAAAAGTATATAATCGAATGATTCTTGAGAGCTAAAGGACTCCTCAGAAATTAACCTAGAGTCTTTGGTTGTGCCCTTTCTACACTGTGACATGGCATAGAGGTGACCAGTTGGCTCATTGCTCTCTTCTAGTGCCTTGTACTTTAACTTGTTGGGTCTCTGGATCATTCTGGTGTGTGCTGTCTTCTCTGGATTGATCATGTACTCCCACTTCAAAGACTGTGATCCTTGGACTTCTGGTATGATCTCAGCACCAGACCAGGTATGGTTTCCTTGGGGGAAACAGCCGGAATGAGTGAGGTTCTGGCCATCGTTGGTGAAGTGTAGTCTGTTCTGCCTTGTCCTCTGGACACTTCTCAAACCCCAAGGACTTAGCTTCTCTCCTCTGCTGTTGATGGTGTCACATGCACCAGGTTACAATAAGGGGAATTGAGCATGTAACAAGAGGAGACTTCTAAGGGCTGGGAATGTAGCTCAGGGGTAGAGGACGTGCCTAGCATTTGTTATACCCTGGTTCAAACTGAGTATTGAAACAAAACAAAACAACAACAACAGCAACAACAACAACAACAACAAAACACATTTCAATATCTAAAGGCCTGAGACCAGTTTAAAGCTGGGGAGATAAGAAGGTGAATTTGGCTTTGGTTGTCAGTTGAAGAAAATGACCCTTATTGCCATAGCATTTCTGATCATGCCTTCTTAGCATAGCTTAAATATCATGCCAACATATTACATTAAATGTATTTTTAAAATTCCATGTATAGATAGTATGCTCTGGAGGAACAATCACTCTCCTTCTCCTCCCCTGCATGTTCATTCATCCTGCTTGTCATAGAGTGGCTGCTTTGCTACAAGCCTGGTCTAAGGTGGAACCATAATATCTGGATGCCATAAAGGCATGTTTTAAGGGTTTGCTTTTCGGGTTTAATTGCTAACAATCAGAGTAAATAGTCAAGAAAATGGCGTTATATATATATATATATATATATATATATATATATATATATATATATATATATATATATTACAGAAAAGCTACATTCCCACATTTCTGATGTTGCTGAGAAGAGCATTATTCCCCACCCTTCAACCCTTCTCTCTCTTTCTCTTTTTCTCCCCCTAGCTGATGCCTTATTTTGTTATGGAGCTCTTTGCCACAATGCCAGGACTTCCAGGACTTTTTGTGGCTTGTGCCTTTAGTGGAACATTGAGGTTAGTATATCAACAACAATGTGATGCTGATGGTGACAATGACGATGACAATGGTGATGCAATAACAAGGTTAATGGAGGTAATAATCAACAGCATCTGCTTAGCACTTATTATGTGTCCACTGTCATACTGAATGCTTTATTTGTATTTGCTCAATAGTTGTCACACAGCATTTGAGACTAAAACTTTACTCACATTATTGTTGGTTTGCTGATTCAGAAATAGGTTTAACAAGGTAGACAACTTATCCATGGTGAGTTAGTAAAATGCAGAAGCAGGATGTAAGCCTAGATTGTCCTTAATCCACACCATTCTGTTTATTATCTCGACCTTTACTGATACTGTATAGTTACCTTTGCATCACTATAATGAAATACCTGAGATGATTAAATTATGAAGATAAATGGCTTATTTTGATTTATAGTTTTTAGGTTCTAGCCTCTGATCAACTATTCATTAGTTTGGAGTTCCAAGGAGGCAGCATGCCGTGGCAAAATAAAATCACTCAGCTCATGAGCCAGGAAGTAGAAGAGAGGGATAGGAAGGGGTCAGGGCCCCATAATCTTCTTTGGGGACATTCCTTCTATGATCTAAGGACCTCCCAAAAGGACTTAAGTCTCAAAGATTCCATCACCTCCCAGAAGAACCACCTTGGGGACCAAGCCTTTAACACATGGACTTTTAGTGGATATTCATCATTTGCACTATAGCATTTTGTACCTGGACCCCAAAGGTTCATGTCTAGCTTATGATGTAAAATAACTCATTTCAACCTGGTGTGGTTGTGCATACCTGTAATCTCAGCGACTCAGGAGGCTGAAGCAGGAGGATCATGAGTTCAAAGCTAGCCTCAGCAAAAGTAAGGCACTAAGTAAATCAGTGAGATTCTGTCTCTAAATAAAATACAAAATAGGGCTGGGGATGTGGAACAGTGATAGACTGCCCCTAAGTTCAATCCCAGGTAAACCCCCCCAAAAAGATGGCTCATTTCATCACAAAAGTATCCACAATTTTAACTGTTCTAGCAATGCTCAAAAATCTGACTGTAGTTTCTCCTGAGACTCGAGGCAAGCTCATTTGTGAGCCCTGTAAATATCAAAGTTATGGACATTTAATATACAGTAGTGGGACAGGTACAGGGTGTTCATTTCCATTTCAAAAAAGAGGGATAGGAAAAAAATAGAATTAGTGTCTCAAGGCAAGACCAAGAACTTAGCAGTAAAAATTAAGTTCTAAAATTTTAAGTCTGGTATCTGGAGTGTTTTATGGTGAAGGTGGGCTCCCAAGACTTTGAGAAGTTCCTCCCATGTGGACTTTCTGGTTGCAACCTATATGGTCTTTCTCTTGGGCTGACTTTGCATGCAGCCTGTAGTTTTCTCTGATGAGTACTGCACATTGCTGGCATCTCTGCCATCATTGAAATTTCAGCTTTGCTGCTATGACTCCATGCATTGCCCTGTTGGGGTATTCTTGCAGGGGCTCTGACCTGAAACATACTACCTAGCCTTCCATGTTTTCCTTTGAAATATTGAGATTTTAGTTGGGTGTGATTGAACATGCCTATAATCCCAGCTAGTCAGGAGACAGAGGTAGGAGGATTATAAATTTGAAACCAGCTTGGCCAATTTAGTGAGATCCTGCCTAAAAATAAAATTTAAAAGGGCTAGGGTTGTAACTCAGTGGTAAAGTACTTGCCTAGCATGCATGAGGCCCTATACCAGGGAAAAAAAGAATAAAATAAAAAAATATTGAGTTTTTAATTCACAATTTTCCATTATGATTTCTGGGTTAACAACATTGTCATAAAGGATTCTCCATTCTATGATTTTAAGTCATCCAGCCCCCATGTTAGTATATTTACATTAAAGCATGTCTATTATGTTTATAATATAGTAAATCAATTAAAGTTGCTAGTTTATTTTACTTCTACAGTAGTAGACAGTTTTTCTATTGTTTCATAGTTAATAAGCCATCTTTAAACCATCTTCTTGAAAGACTGCTTTTATTATTTCCTAGATTCTTTGTCTTTGAGAGCTTCTCAGAATGCTCTTTTATATTCCATTCATGTACTGATTTTAGCTATGGTGATATAAATAATTTTAATGACTGTGATTTAAAATCTGATTTATGTTAGACTGTTATATATGTATTGCTTTTCTTTTACATAATATTCTTGACATCTAGGTCTCCCTTAGTTACTTTAAGCTAATTCTTCTGGGTCTGTACATAAATCGTAATATCTGCAAATATTTTTGAAGTTTATCTTCTTATAATTTCAACTTTGTTTTCATTCTATTATATAATTGTGCTTTGAAAACAGTGATTTATTTTTAAAAGAATAGTTTTAATAGTATGTGTTTTAAAGGGAATAGTTTTTAAATTGTGATTTTTTTTGCCCCACTTGAATTTAATAGTTTTCTATTTTAGCAGCTAAAATATTCTGGTCTACATGAAGAATTAAATAAGATTTCATGCTTTTCTACAAAGAAAACCTAAAGTTTCAAACTTTCTGACATCCAAACAAGTTTTAGGTCTAGTAGGAGGGAACTCTGAAGGAAAGTCAGAGGGAACATCAGAACTCTTATGCATTTTTGGTTTTGCTGTTTCTCTGTCTGACCTCTTCTGCATTCCAGCTACACAGGGGGCTTCAGAATGTAAAAAGGAGAAGTGCCTATCCGTCAAGGTGCCTCTATATAATTTTCCCTTCATCCTCCAAACATCTTTTCTTACTTTGCATGACTCCTTTCAATACCTGTCTTTATTTCCCACTTCCTAAAGGGAATCTTGTGGATAGTCTGTTTAGGTCTCTTTGGGGCATATTTTTATGGGATCTTGTTGTTTTTCTAACAATTTCACAACTGGAATCAATTGTATAATTGGTTTTAAATATCTGCATTCCTAGTTAAGAGTGTAAGACCCATGTTTTTTTCTGTTCACCATTGTATGCCTAGTACAAAAAATTAAAAAGCAGACACATTAATTTATGAATTATGAATCAGTGGCAAACTGATTCTTGGGTTAAGATAGTCATTACTTCCAGCTCTACTCCAACCTAAACACACACACACACACACACACACACTCCCTCTTTTATTCCCTGCTAACTTATTAACTATTCATTAAGAGGAATTAATGGGAGTCAGAACATAAAAGTCTCAGTTTTTCTGTGTAGTTTGTGGAATAATTGAAAGAGCATTATTGCAGAAGAAATTATGATGAATGAGTACAGGCTATGTATTCCTCTGAAGTTCCAGAACATGGACATGTCGACATCTCCTTTTTATACACCTCTCCTTTGTCTATCTGCCTTGGATGATAGGGCAGGTTGATGGCTTAGCCTTGTTTAGTTTGAACTATGTTCTTGCTTTTCTTTCCCTTTAGTACTGTGGCTGCCAGCATCAATGCCCTAGCAACAGTGACCTTTGAGGATTTTGTCAAGAGCTGTTTTCCCCATCTCTCTGACAAGCTGAGCACCTGGATCAGTAAAGGCTTATGTAGGTACAGCTGGTAGATCTTTTACTCCGTATCATAGAATGTATATTTGGTGCATCTCAAAATCTTTCATGTGCTATTCAGGATATACTTACAGCCACAAATGCACACTGAGACTTATGAAGAATCTCTATAGATTCTTATACTTCTACAGATGCCAGGATGGTTATAGAAAATAATGACTACCTAATTCACCTTATATAAACTTTATTTTCAGATATCTTATGCTCTATACTTATCATACAAACATCTCTTGATTATGCTGTATTGATCATATTAGTCATCTGCATAGGAAGACGTTCTGCTAAGTATGGTCAATTACTCTAAAACACCCAAATGCTTTTCTAAAGAAAATCTCTTAAAAGCAAACTCCCAGTAATCTTACCTCAAAGAATAATTGTTTCTTATTTAACCATAAGATTGCATATTATGATTATAATCACTGGAGCACTTATCATTGTATAGTTTTAAGAAGTTTACTTTATTTTAAGTATAAGTAAATTATACACTTCATTTATTCATTATAGAAAATCTAGGTAATTTGATAAAATGTTTGTATTTCACAAATAAAATTTTATCTAACCAATTTTGTTCCTGATTGATTTTCTCTCAGCAAACTACAGTAAGTCTTTTCTTGAATTATTACATATTCTTAGAAAATATGATATTTGAATGATTGTATAATAATATATAAAATGCCTTTTAAAATTTTATATTATTGTTACTTTTTTCATTTTTAAAACTGTGATAAAAACACATACACATAAATCTTTGACTGCATCTTTATTTTTTTCCCTTTGTACAAATTTCCAGGAGAAAATTACCAAGTTAAGAAATACAAACTGGCTGACATTTCTTGATACCTATTAAGACAGTTCCACTAGGGTCAAGTCAATGAGTAGTGCAGTGAATGGTGACATACTTCTCTATGTGCTTGATGTTTGTATTTTTTAAAATTGATCAAATTAATGGGCATATAACTCACTTTTTTGCTTTAATTTAAATTTTTTGATTTATAGTATTTCAAGCATACCCAGATGATAAATAAATTGCTTATTTTTTGTAAAATATAGACATATTTTATTTGTTGGTGAAATATTAGATATTTTATTGTTCATAAAATTTATTTATATATACAGAAAAAAGTGACCCTATTGCAGGATGTCTCACAGTATTTTTAAACATATTTTGAAACACAGAAATTCTAATTTTATATTTGATCAAATATGGATTATTTCTTGTATTTCAATATTTCCTTATCTGTACAAAGTTTTACACTCAAAATTCATGCATATATTTTCTTCTAGATTGCAAATACCTTTATGTTTCACATTTAATGTTGGATATTTCTAAATTATTTGTTTATACATTAAGATGAGGATATAAATTGTTTTCTATTTCTTATACAGCTTTGTTTTCAGCATCATTTATTCAGTATTCTTCATTGAAAAAAAAAATATATATATATATAGTCAATTTATAATTTCCCAGCCCTTTTATATATTTGATTTAGAGACAGGGTCTCACTGAGTTTCTTAGCACCTTGCTGTTGCTGAGGCTGGCTTTGACTCGTGATTCTCCTGTCTCAGCCTCCTAAGTTGCTGGAATTATAGGTGTGTACCACCGCGCCCAGCTTATATTTTTATTAATAGTAATGCATAATATGAAGTTATTTTATAGTAATGAATAATATGAAGTTCTTTCATTTATAAACATGTTTTATATTACATAATTAATTGTCTTAAATTGTTTCTCAATTGTAGGACAAATTATATCTACTTTCATTCATAGCTTTGGAGTCTTATCAAAAATATCTGGTATAAAAATGTTACCACTTTTAGTTGAAAAATTAAATTTTTTTCTGTTGTTACTTTTTATATAACAATTGTTTTGGCTATGCATGTCTTTTTTTCCTTTAGATTGACTTTAAAATTATTCTTTGCTTGTAACAGGTATAACAGCCCACCCCTGTGCCATGGCATTGAATCAGAAATAAAAATGCACTAGGGAAGGACTAAGCTTTTCAAGCAGAAATCCACTTTATTTTTCAATTTAATCATCTATTTTCTAACTCACATATTGATTATACTCATGTTTTCTCCTTCAATTCTTTGCTTCTTTCTCTCCCCTCCCTCCTACTCTTCCTCTTCTTCCTCATCCTTTTTTTCTTCCTTTCCCTGAGATTATGAATAAGGTGCTTTCCCCATAATATCTCCAAAACCATTCATTGTCAATGTAGAAGTGGAAGTTTTGTTTGTTTGTTTGTTTTTGTTTTTGAAAGTACTTATCTGTTCGTTTACTCAACTCTTGTTAATTCCCAAAATTTAAATTGTTTTTAATAGCAAATGTGGTTATTATTTACAAATATTCATTTTCTATTATACCCTCCACTTTTTGTTTTCTTCTGGGGTGGGATCCTAGTATGTTGCCCTGGCCAATCTTGGGCTCAAGGTTCTCTTGTCTCAGTGTCCATTTTATAGATGTTATAGGTGCATGCCACCAAGACTAGTTGTGATGCCATACTTTTTAAATTTAGGTTATTTGTTTGCTATATAATCCACTTTTTTTGACTTTTATTCCTAACTTGTCCCTTTCCTCTATATACTTGAGAAACTCAAGTTTTTCTCAATGTTGTTTTGAACTTTCCAAAACCTAAATCTAGTAACAATGATGAGATTTTAATTATATTGTTCTGTTCTTTACCATTTATTATAAAAATAAAATTATACAGCCAAGTTTAAAAACTTTAAAGTTCACATATATATTATGGATGATATACACATCAGTTAGATCTCTCATTAGCATCATTCTAAACTTACTTTTTTACCTTCTATTTAGCTCTCTGTCTATTCATTAATCCATCATATTTTTGTAGTTTTAAAAGTAAATTACAGAGATCAACACATTTTTCATCATAATCTTAGCATGTATATTGTTAACTAGAATTGAGCATGTAGTTCAAGTATTTTTTATTGTAAAGAAATTTATTTATAATGAAATGGACTAATGTTAAAAATATTTTTCTGAATTTTGATAAATCCATATACTTATGTAACTTTTTATGAATATATAAATACTTACCATCACTCCCATGCCCTTTATAGTCACTCTGTACTTCTACTTTTTTCTAGAGGAAAGTATTAATATTATTTTTCTTGTAAAGATTAATATTGCCTCTTCTAGGAGGTCTGAAATCTCACAGTACTCATTATTTCTCTGTAAGACTTCTTTCATAGCATATTTTTGAGATTTATATTACACGTTTTTTTTGTGTATCAGAAATTCATTTTTTTTAATTGTTAAATATGTCATGTAGGAATATAACACAGGCTCTGTATTTTTTCAATAGTTAATTAGCTTGTTTTTTAACATCCATAGCCATTCACAGGGCTGGCATCTAGAACATTCCATGCATATCAGAATCTGATGATACTCAATTTTCTTATTTCCTTAAAAAGGTGTTACATTTTCATGTAACCTGTTTACCTCTTTTCATATACTTTAAATTATCTTTAGATTACTTATATTACCTAATACAATGTAAATAAGGATGTAAATAGTTATTAGACTATACTATTTAGGGAATAATGCCAATAATAAAAGTCTGGACATGTTTATTACAGACACATTTTTTTAAAACATTTTCAATCACAGTTGGTTGAATCTGGCAATGTGACATCACAGATATGGAGGACCTTATGTCTATTGATTGATGTAGGCTATTTCAGTTTGACTTTATTGTGTTGTGACTAATCTTGCATAAATCCTTTTGTGAACATATTTTCATTGCTTTTTTACAAATAGGTAGAAGTGGAATTTCTTGGTCAAATATGATAATTTTTATTTTATTTTATTTTATTTTTGTAGTCCTGCCTCAATCTGTATCCATCTTCATCTAGAGTTATTGGTGTTGTACCCTATATTGCTAGTTTTCTTTTAACCTCATTTGTTTTCTCTTGACCTACACATCTTTGATTCATTAAGACTCTGTTTCTTGTATAATATTGAGAGTGCCAGTTTTTAGATGCTTTCTTTTTTTCTGTTTCATCAGGAGGATTTTTTTCAGAAAGTGGACCTTTCCTTTATTTGAGAGTTATCCAATTTCAAGAGTAAGATTCTGATAATGATTACCTGATAAAATTAGTAAATACCAAATCTGAAGTAAAATCATAATTTGACCTTCATATTAATATATTCATTCTGTTCTTTGGCCTTGTTTTATCATGGATTCCATCTTTCTCTTTACTTTTAACTTATGTTCAAAGAAAGAGAGATGGATACTGACCATGCTAACTGGGAAGTTAAATTGTCTTGATTTTACTTCCTATCTGAGTTAGTACTAATCACAAGTGGATGGGCATTGTTCCAAGTTCAAGACTCAATTTCTAGCAGATATTCATGGCTATGTTGGGTTGAGGTGGAGGTGCCTTCTATGCCTATGTTTTGTTTTCTAGTCATCTTAGCTGATGACTAGCAGATCTGGGAAAATCGACAGAACTTCCTGCAACTCTAAAGCTTTGTTCTCCTCACTTTCACTGCTTTGTATGGTGACATGCTTTCAGGTATCCATGGAACTCACACAAATTTCCCCTAAGCTTCCTGCTTGTGCATGTTGACATTGAATGCAGTTTGTGGTAGTTTAAAGATTTGATGGGAAAGGAAGCTGAATGGACTCCCTATCACCACAAAAAAAGGAGAACCCCTGAATTTGAAGGATGATTGCCTAGAATTTCATTTGAACAGATGGCTGTTGGTCCAGGAGAAGGGCATTCAGTAGGAGAGAGAGAAAATATCATTGGCTCTTTTCTTCAGGCAGATGTAGCTCTTCTTTTTCATGAAACAATACTGAGTCAGCGCAAACATTGTTTTCTTCAGTCTAATCCATCAAGTTTAAAGATAGCAGGGCCATTTTGGAATTTTGACAAGGGCTTATTTATCAACCGTGGTTTGTGTTGTTTTTGTGAATTTCCTTATTTTTCTGTGTCTTATTGAGAAGTTAGAGGATATAGCATCAAAATTTGTTTGCCAATTTCAAGAGTGAGATTCTCATAATACTTAACTGATAAATTAGTAAATACCAAATCTGAAGTAAAATCATAATAATGGAAAACACATAGTACTTGTGGAATACCAGACACTACTCTGAATAAACTAAATTGAGGTAAATTATAGGATTAATTAGTTAATTAATTTATAGTCCATTCTTAGAATGTGAACTTTTGGGGGGTACGTATCAAGTTTTGACTTTTAATACTGGCATGAATTAAAGTGTCCAAATTATGCTCAGAATTCAATGAAATTAAATTAATAGTAACACTGGGAACTGGACTTAGTATTTTGCAGAGAGAGAACATTCAAACAGAGTGAACAAAGTGGTTTCCTGTGCATTTATCTCTCTGTCTCTCTCTGGCTTTTTGTCTATCCCTCCTTTTCTTATTTAGTTTTCAAGCAATTGTGGAAACTCAGCATATTTTAAAGATAATTTTTAAAGAAAGATATACAGTAAACAATGCTTTTTTAATAGTTTAAAAGAAGATAACATCCTAAAAAATGACTGAAAAGTACATGCTGACACATTTAGTGAGTGCTGTGACACCAGAGGAGCACAGTACTCTGAAGCTGCCCATGTTGATGCGTAGACAAATACGTGATTGTGTAATATACAGAGGGTCCTGTGGACGGTGTGCATATAGCACTAGAGGAAAAAACCAAACAAAAACAAACAAACAAAAAACAGGAAAGCTTTCCTGACTAGAAAAACTGTGAGGTGCAATGCATATTACTTAGCCATCTGAAATCCAAAGAGGGCTAGTGCTTCTTTTTTTAGAACACTTCTGGTGAGTGGTTCACCAGGTATTAGTTTCCATCAAATTTAGTCTGGATTTGTTTGGGCCCTTTCCACATTTTTATGCTGTTTCTGTAAGACATTTTTTTTTTCTGAAATCCTAGAAATTATTTGATGCTTGACTCAGGTTTCTTCCACCTGACCTGAGAAAGCAAATGCTCAGAGGAAGGGTCACCTTAGTTCCCTCAGTGGGGCTTGTGATGTCCACATGTGGACAGCCCTCACTGCAATCCCCTGGAGGAGGGCTGGTATTAGGCAGTGCTGGTTGGGGACTCAAGGAAGGAAATGATGGTCATATCTTCCCTTCTTCCAGGTCTCTTATTTGGCATCCTGTGCACCTCCATGGCTGTGGCCGCATCTCTCCTGGGGGGCGTTGTACAGGTAACTAACAAGGGAAAAGACACATTTAACTTCATAGCAACTTTGTCCTCACTCATTTTTCTAATGTTTTAACTATTTCTCTAGTCTCCAACTACTGATATTCAAACATATCAGGTCCCAATTAAACATCCATGCAATATTTCAACCAAAAGTATCTTCAGAAGCAGAAACTTCTACAACAAGAATGGATAGAGACAAAGTTCACTGTGTTAAAATTAATTTAAAAATTCTATCAATAATAACCATAATAGTGAAAACACCAATTAACATATATAATACCTATTATGAACTAGGTATAGCCCTTTATGTATTACCTAATTTAATGTTTATAACTTTCTTAAGGGGTTATGTAATTAATATATTCATTTTCCTGATGAAGAAACAAAGAATTGTCCCAAACTCACACAATTAAAGAGTGGTGAAATTAGGATACAACTAAGTATTATTATCAAAATCAAACTGTTGCTCATATATTCAACTCCCAGTTCCATAAAACATTAGCATTACAAGGAAGCACAAGAATAATCTATTGCAACACCTTCATTTTGTAGATGATTGTAGAAAAGAATGAAAATATCCTGCTTAAGTTCTCACAGCTACCTGGGATTGATTGAACCCAAGGGGCTTTAGTTACATCCCCATCCCTTTTTAAATTTTTTAAATTTATTTTGAGACAGGGTCTCACTAAGTTGCTTAGGGCCTTGCTAAGTGGCTGAGGCTAGCTTTGAAATTGCAATCCTCTGTGTTGGTTCCTAAGTCACTAGAATTACAAGTCTGTTCCACTGCGCCTAGCTATGATATGGGTTTTCAATAAATGCTGCCTAATTGAAGAAATGAGTAAGAGTAAATGAATAGAAACCACTGGATAGTGAACAGCAATGGTAAGATTGAGTGGATATTAATAAAATAGAATCCATATTATATATATATATATATATATATATATATATATATATATACCTTCTAGTTCACAAAAGGGTTCATCCTACTTTCTCTTTCAAAGGACTACTTACATAGCTTCAGTTATTTCCATTTTAATATTCAGAGAATAAATCTGAGATATTTAAGTAACTTGATTACTTACTGTTTAAAGAAGATAATTTGTGGAATCAATTTAGTATCCTTTCTGTTAAGTTGTGAACTTACTATTTATCACAGATGCTTGATTATAATCCTTTTACACAGCTTGAAGTATACTGATATTTCCCTATCCACAAGAAACACTGGCAACTAGGTGAAGTTTGTTTTTAGTGACCTCATGTGCATTTTTTAAAGGTTTATTTTCACAATTCATGGAATCTCTATTTCTAATCTACTTCCAAAGCCTTGAGGCTTGTTGTTTTCATTTGGTATTTATTCTTTAAGAGGTGTCAACCTGTTTAATTTGGTGATAATTTGAATCTCTAAATTGTTTCCTCCCAAAAATATTTGCATTGGTAAATGAGGGGGCTCCAGAGAAGGCCAGGACTTTCCCAAGTACTGGGGAAAAATAACACTTAGAGTAGGGAGTGCATTGAGGGATGCACTCACCTGCCTGTCCTACTTTAGATGAGAGTTGGGCTCACTTTCCTGATTGAAATGTGTGCCACAGGGAGGAAGAGCAGGAAGAAAAGATTAACATTAAACAGATACATGAGGTGGGATGGAAAGGGAGAGAAAAGGGAAATTGCATGGTAATGGAGGGAGACCCTCATTGTTATACAAAATTACATATAAGAGGTTGTGAGGGGAATGGGAAAATAAACAAGGAGAGATATGAATTACAGTGGATGGGGTAGAGAGAGAAGATGGGAGGGGAGGGAGGGGGGATGGTAGAGGATAGGAAAGGTAGCAGAATACAACAGTTACTAATAGGGCATTATGTAAAAATGTGGATGTGTAACCGATGTGATTCTGCAATCTGTATTTGGGATAAAATTGGGAGTTCATAACCAACTTGAATCTAATGTATGAAATATGATATGTCAAGAGCTTTATAATGTTTTGAACAACCAATAAAAAAAATTAAAAAAAAAAAAAAGAAAAAAAAAAAAGAAATGTGTGCCACACAGTTCATGAAGTATAGGAGATGCTGGCAGGTAAGAAATGAAGCCCTGATATTCCACTTCCTTGGAGATGTATTTGTCTCCAAGATGGTCCATTCATTTTTGTGAACACATCTGACTTTGTTGGACACATAAAAGCAACTGAAATTTTTCTATGTTTTAATTGGTTCTTTCTAGTTATACATGATAATACAATTCATTCTGGCATACTTATAAAAGCATGGAACATAATTTGTCCTGGTTCAGTCCTCAGTACTTCCCTTTTCCCTCTCCTCCTCCCTCCCTCTGTTCTCCTCCCTCTACTCTACTGATCTTTCTGCTATTTACTTATATATATATTTAAACTCAGTGTCTTTTGAATATACTTGATGTTGATATTCAATGAAATATATTTATATATGTGCATAGGAAAGTTAGGTCAGACACTTCTCAAAACAAGAAATACAAATATATGAAGTTGATCTATTTAATTTTCCAAACAGTTTTGCTATATTTGATTTAATGAAACATTATTCATATTCTGATGTTGCATGTAGAAGAAGACAGGAACCCAAATCTCTCAGTGTGAAGGATAGAGCCAGTTTTAATTTCATGTTTGCAAAACCACCCCACACGTATGAGATGTTCTTGAAGGTGGGGCAGGAATGACAGACCACTTAAACAAAGGCAGGCCGGTTCAATGTGTGGCTGTTCTTGTTGTCATTTTTTAATTTGGTTTATTTCAGAGATTTTGTTTGCTTGTGTAGCAATGCTGGTGTAAGACTTTAGTTTGAAATGTTACAAAGTATGTCCTGGAGAATGTTATCCTGTGAAATGTGTCACACATGTTCCAAGGAAGAAGATTTTCATAGTCAAAGACTGGAACATGGTGCACACTGCATTGCTCTCTCAGATCCACAACACACATTAATACATTGAAGACTCTGGGAAATCCAACAGTAAGGAAACCTGTTTCACTTGAAATGTGTAACCACAGAACCATAATAAGGTGGGAGAGGGGAGAGAGATCAGATAATGGTAACAAAAATCTCCCTTTAGCAAGAGAATTGCAGCCTTCCTTCTAGAAAGGTCATTCTAACCAACACACACCTGTCCTAAGGACTGTCAGCTAAGGGCTGAAGTGACATGAGGATACATTTTTAATCTCATCCGAAGAAAGTACTTTCTAGATCTCAAAACATTACAACAACAAAGGATATCCCTCAAAAATTTAGAGATCACTAACAGGGTAGGTAATAGCAGCAATGAAGATTGTGAGAGTCATAGTGCACATTCTGGGCCCCTTATCATGTGCTCCCTGGTGCTCAGACATTATTCTGAACTTTCTCTTGGATTCGACATTGAATACTAACTAAAACAATAAAAAAAATACAGAAAAAAACACTAGGAAGCAGATATTATGATGTGCCCTTGACACATGAGGAATAAAGCATGGAAAGGTCAATTATGCATAAGCTCCTCAGTCAACCCTGAACACAAAGCATATTCCTGTAGACATTGCTGTTAACTTGTAGGAATAGCTCAGATTGGATTTTGAGCATTAAGGAGAAAACTGAGTTTGATGAGCTTTAACTCTTCCTCCAATTAAACATGTTTAATAACAAAAAGAAAGATAAAAGTTAAAAGTAATTTGCTTTGTCCAACACAGAAATACATATGTATATTATATTTCAACACACACACACACACACTTAAATCCAGAAACTCTTGGATATTTTTTTTCCCTGAGGCATCTGGCTAGCGACTTTGTAAGAGCTTGTTGATTTTTATTTCATGAAGGAAGAGAAATGTATTTACTATTTCATTGATCTTCTATATAATAGCCAGTAAATTAGCTTCCAAATTTAGCAACTACAGCAACTATGAATTAGTGCTGTTGATCAATAGAGGAAATATCAAGAATATTCAATTGAGAATAATGGGGAAAAGGAAGCCTTTAATCTTACCTGCTCCATCATGTCAAAGACATATCTGAAGCACTGACTTTGCTAAAAAGTAACCTGGGAAAGCAATACTAACAATGCATAGCAGCTCATCTTTCTGGACAAAGACAGAGTGTTCTGGATATGAACACTGAAGAGGACTGGAAGGTCTGTTGCCCCTGCATAGTTTTATAGAGAAAGAAGAAAACTGCAGTTGAATGAATGTGAGTTAGTAACAGAAAGTTCAACAAATCCTAGTGATGTGGGTCAGGGCAATAATTACAATTCAAATATTCTAAATATAAATGGTGGATTCTTTCAAAAGATTGCTTTTCCTTTAAACAGAAGAATTAGGACATAGTGGTCTGTGCTCTTGACATTCTTTTGTAAGACTACTTTTAGAAAGAAAATATAGAATTTGGAGCCATAACAATTTGAATTTATATCTTTACCTCTGCCACTTGCTAAATACAAAGTGAACTTTGATATTTTCTTTCAGCACCAATTTTCTCAGATACAAAATTTAGTTAGTGTTACCTATTAAGATGAGTGACTGTGAGGATTAAATTTGTCCAGGGTGCACAAGCAGTTCTGTCTTGCATATAGTTGGCCCCTGAAAAATAGGATAAGATCTTAGATAAGATCTGTCCTCTGTAAGTGCTTTGAGGAACTGGAAGGGGCTTCATTGACAGTAGTTGGTGTGAGTACATGCACACAAGTGTATATTTATGTGTTTCTTCATTTGCATAGGCTCATTCACTTGCACATAAATGCACATGCATTTTCTAACTCTTGGAAGACCATGGAATAAAGCTTTATGTTTACAGAAAATTAGTTTAAAGAAAGTCCCTGGCCAATTCAATGGAGTCTATAACTTAGAAGTTGAAAGATGTGGAAATACACTTCTCAAACTCTCTCAATTTCCAAACTAGATGGAGCATAATCATGAGAGACAAAAAATGGAAGGTGGAGTGTATAATGTCCTCTCCACATGTCTGAACTTAATGCTTCAATATCCTAGAGATGTAATGGGTGGGATGGTAGTGGTTGGGTAACAGACAAAAAAGAAAGAATGAAAGAAAGAATTGTTCAAACTAAGCTAAATAGTTTATCAACTAAGATATAAAAAATGTAGTAGACATATTTATTTAGTACATTATTTTTATTTTTCCACATTTTTATTGGTGCATTATAGTTTTACATAATGAAGGGAATTGTTGTTACTTATAACAATATAATACAGTACATTATTTTTCAAAAACAATTTTTTAGGATGCTCGTAACTGACCCAAGGCCCTTGTGCATGTTAGGCAAGCACTAACCTATATCTCTAGTCAAAAAAAGAAAAAAAACAAATAACTTTTGATAATATAAAAATATAAACAAATGTATAAGTTCCAACTCAAGTGAAACCTTCTTCAAGCAAATCCAAATCACCTGTTTTCACTTTGCAACCATACATATGTGCACATATACTCACACATATATACAAGCATGTGTGTGGGTTCATATGTATGTAACTTTCCTTTTTATTTATTTATTTTTTCAGTTTCTTTTTTTATACAATGCTTATCACTGGATCCAGAATTGACCTAAGGAAAGCACATAATTAATAAATGGCACAGTCTGGACTTGAACCAAATTATATCAAGTCCCAGAGAAGGATGGTTCTGGTAGAACACAGATATAGTAGAGTTGTGAGACTCATCTGATCTCCTTCATTCCACAGGCTGCCCTCAGCATCCATGGAATGTGTGGGGGACCAATGCTGGGTTTATTCTCTTTGGGACTTGTGTTCCCTTTTGTGAACTGGAAGGTAAGCATCTTACATCCCTCTTTGTGATTCCCAGCTCAGATAAAACCCCAGATATATTTCCTCACCTCTTTTTCCTCTAACCTCTGGTTGGAAAATCTATTTATCTTTGCTAGGAAAAGAATTCATAGTAGAATCAAACAGAATCAAAATCCTCCCATATCTGACTTCAGAAAAGCCATTTCAGAAACAGAAAACAAAGAAGGGAAGAGGTGGTCATGAATTACCATATGTCATGGTTATCAAAGCTAACTTTTTAAGGTTTAAATTAAGTTTTCTCTCAATTAAGGGACAACAAAATGAACTTAAAACAAGACACTGGATTCAGAAACAGTTTAGTTAGAACAGAAGTTTGAAATGAAATTCAAGTGAAAATACATGTAAATTTCATTTTGTCTGTAGTTATCTAAAATTATAACTAGCTTTATTAACTTGATTAACTAATCTGTATGGAGGAGATGGGACATGACTGGGATATCATGATAGCTGTGCTATCTTCATTTGGCTGGGCTGGTAAGCTAGAAGTACGGATTCAAGAAAATGTTGCTCAGACTTGGAGGGAAGATGGCGGCGAGGGGAGTGCATTACCCCCGTGTGCTGCTTCACTGTGTGGGAGTATGACAAGTCAGGACGGCTAAAGGATATCTTGTTAGGAATTTCCAGCAATAGTGGGGTGCGCCGGAACCTGGAGGAAGGATTTCCATCGCACGAGGATCGGCTACGGGGACTCAAACGCGAGAGGTTTGTCGCACGGAGGGTAACACTGCTTATTCAGCAAATCGCCCCGCGGCTAGAGTCTGCAAGGCGCGCTGGGATAGAGACGCAGGGTTACAGCGCTGCAGTTTCTGCCAGACGCGCAAGCACCGCACTCAGGGCTGAATTCTGGGTTCGAGACGGGGGAAGGAAGCGGTCCATCTCGGTTCTCCACACCGGTCAGACCACAGAGGAGGCCAGCAGCCACCATGTTGGTAAACTGACGTCACCACACCTGTTTTTGACTGACCGCAGCTCATTCAGCCATAGAACAGGTAATTTCAGGCTGCAATTCGCCTGCGGCTTGCAGACAGATTGCTAGGGTTCAGCGCCTGGGGGCTTCTTAAAATCTGATCTTATCGGAGTGAACACGGAGCGCGGGGCGGCCGAGTTCCGGCTCCCGGAACCGTCCCGGAACCGCCCTGGCTCAGGGCTGCGGAGCCTGCGGAGGCTGCTTCTTGGACCCTGCTACTATCAGAGCAAACACGAAGCACCAAGAAGCCGAATTCCAGCTCCCGGAACTGAGCCCACGGGGACTGCTTCTTGGAGCTTACACTTATAGGAGCTTACACCGAGCACAGAGCGGCCGACTTCCGGCTCCCGGAACCGTCCCGGAACCGCCCTGGCTCAGGGCTGCGGAGCCCGCGGAGGCTGCTTCTTGGACCCTGCTACTATCAGAGCATACACCAAGCACTAAGCGGCCGAATTCCGGCTCCCAGAACTGAGCCCGCGGGGGCTGCTTCTTGGAGCTTACACTTATAGGAGCTTACACCGAGCACGGAGCGGCCGAGTTCCGGCTCCCGGAACTTCCCTGGACCGGGGCTAGGAGCCCGCGGAAACTGTGTCTCGGTCCGGGTCCTGCTGAGGGCAGGTCAGGACTCACCCATTGCTTGGGTTGCCCGGCAAGGGGAACGAAATGCTGCCATTCGCATAGGATACCAACATGGCAGAGATCTGATGTCAGCAGAAAGCGGTGGAGGAGAGATCTTCATCAATACCAGCGGTGACATAAGCAGTTGGTCTCCTGGTAAGGGGGGTGAGGCTCAGTCACCTGAGTCTCCTCAATTTGTCCTCGAGCCAGAGGGAAGGAGCCGGGCCGCCGCCAGCCCCCGGAGCAGGCCCAGCGGCTCGCCAGCGTGGTGACCGCGTGACCCCAATTGGAGAGGGGGCGGAGCGGAGCCGCCACCCACACCCGCCAGGTGGGCAGACCCACGACCCAGTAGTACATGGGCGTGGTAGGAGGGGCAGGGCAGAGCCGCCCTTCGCGCTTGCAAGGTAAACAGACCTGTGACAGCCTGGCGGGTCAGGCCCAGTGGCCTGCCAGTGTGGTACACACATCACCCCAACTCGAGTAGGGGCAGAGCAGATCCTTATCCCACGCCCGGATCAGGCCCTGCCGGTGTGGTGGTCACGTGACCCCAATTGGAGTGGGGGTGGAGCGGAACCGCCACCCGTGCCCGCAGGGTGAGCAGACCAGTGATCAACCTGCAGATCAGGCCCAGGGGTCCGCAGGCGTGGTAGGAGGGGCAGGGCAGATCCGCCGCCCGTGCCTTCCAGGTAGGCAGACCTACAACAGACCGGCGGATCAGGCCCAGGAGCCTGCCGGCATGGTACAAACACCACCCTAATTGGAGTAGTGACAGAGCAGAGTCGCCTCCCTTGCCAGGAACAGACCCAGCATCCTGCAGGCGGGGTAGTCACGACATCCCAATTGGAGTAGGGGCAAAGCAGAGCCTCCACCCGTGCCCGAAAGGTGGGCAGATCTGCGACCGACCAGCGGGACAGGCCCAGTGGCCTGCTGGTACGACAGACACGTCACCCCAATTGGAGTAGGGGCAGAACAGAGCCGCCACCAGCTCCCAGAACAGGCCCAGTGACCTGCCGGCGTGGTAGCCACGACACCCCAATTGGAATAAGGAGAGAGCAGAGCCGCCGCCCGCACCTGCAGGAAAGATACGCAAGCAGTATGAAAAGACAAGGAAAGAAAGGACCACAAGCAATGCAGGTCAACGCAACTTTAGAAGAGGTAACAGCTGCAGCAGATGGAATGTCAGATAAAGAATTCAGGATATACATGCTTCAGATGATCTGGAGTATCAAGGAAGACATTAAACAGCAAAATCAGACAATGAAAGATCACTTCGACAACGAATTACGCAAACAAATCCAGGAAGCAAAGGATCAACTATACAGGGAGATAGAGGTTATAAAAAACAAGCAATCAGAAATCCTAGAAATGCAGGAAGCAATAAACCAACTTAAAAACTCAATGGAGAATACTACCAACAGAGTAGAACACTTAGAAGATAGAACATCAGACAATGAAGACAAAGTATTTCAACTGGAAAAGAACATAGACAGCTCAGCAAGACTGTTAAGAAACCATGAGCAGAACATCCAAGAAATATGGGATAACATTAAGAGACCAAACTTAAGAGTCATTGGGATACAGGAAGGTACAGAGCTCCAAACCAAAGGAATGAGCAGTCTATTCAATGAAATAATACAAGAAAACTTCCCAGACTTGAAGAATGAGACAGAATCCCAAATCCTAGAAGCCTACAGGACGCCGAATGTGCAAAATCATAAGAGATCCACACCTAGACACATTATAATGAAGATGCCCAACATACAGAATAAGGAGAGAATTTTAAAAGCTACAAGAGAAAGGAAGCAGATTAGATTTAGGGGTAAGCCAATCAGGATAACAGCTGATCTTTCAACACAGACTCTGAAAGCTAGAAGATCCTGGAATAACATATTTCAAACACTGAAAGATAATGGGTTCCAACCAAGAATTGTGTATCCAGCGAAATTAAGCTTCAGGATGGAGAATGAAATTAAAACCTTCCACGATAAACAAAAGTTTAAAGAATTCGCAGCTAGAAAACCATCTCTTCAAAACATCCTAGCCAAAGTATTACAGGAAGAGGAAATGGAAAATAACAATGAAAACCAACAGTGGGAGGTAGGACAGTAAAGGGGGGGGGAAACAATCAAAGAGGAAAACAAACAATGTTTAGTAACAGAAATAAACAAATATGGCTGGAAGAACAACCCATATCTCAATAATAACCCTAAATGTTAATGGCTTAAACTCACCAATCAAGAGACACAGGCTAGTAGAATGGATCACAAAACAAGACCCAACAATATGCTGCCTACAGGAGACGCATTTGATAGGAAAAGACATACATAGGCTGAAGGTGAAAGGTTGGGAAAAATCATATCACTCATATGGACTTCGGAAACAAGCAGGCGTGTCCATACTCATATCAAATAAAATAGATTTCAAGCCAAAGTTAATCAAAAGAGATAAAGAGGGACACTACATACTGCTTAAGGGAACCATACACCAACAAGACATAACAATCATAAATATTTATGCCCCAAACAATGGTGCAGCTATGTTCGTCAAACAAACTCTTCTCAAGTTTAAGAGTCTAATAGACCACCACACCATAATCATGGGAGACTTCAACACACCTCTCTCGCCACTGGACAGATCTTCCAAACAAAAGTTGAATAAGGAAACTATAGAACTCAATAACACTATTAATAACCTAGACCTAATTGACATATATAGAGTATACCACCCAACATCAAGCAGTTACACTTTTTTCTCAGCAGCACATGGATCCTTCTCAAAAATAGATCATATATTATGTCACAGGGCAACTCTTAGACAATATAAAGGAGTAGAGATATTACCATGCATCTTATCTGATCATAATGGAATGAAACTGAAAATCAACGATAAAAGAAGGAAGGAAAAAGCATACATCAATTGGAGAATGAACAATAGGTTACTGAATGATCAATGGGTTATAGAAGACATCAAGGAGGAAATTAAAAAATTCTTAGAGATAAATGAAAACACAGACACAACATATCGGAATCTATGGGACACATTGAAAGCAGTTCTAAGAGGAAAATTCATTGCTTGGAGTTCATTCCTTAAAAAAAGAAAAAACCAACAAATAAATGATCTCATACTTCATCTCAAAATCCTTGAAAAAGAAGAGCAAAACAACAGCAAAAGAAGTAGAAGGCAAGAAATAATTAAAATCAGAGCTGAAATTAATGAAATCGAAACAAAAGAAACAATTGAAAAAATTGACAAAACTAAAAGTTGGTTCTTTGAAAAAATAAACAAAATCGACAGACCCTTAGCGATGCTAGTGAAGAGAAGAAGAGAGAGAACTCAAATTACTAGCATACGGGATGAAAAAGGCAATATCACAACAGACACTTCAGAAATACAGAAGATAATCAAAAACTATTTTGAATCCTTATACTCCAATAAATTAGAAGATAGTGAAGGCATAGATAAATTTCTTAAGTCATATGATCTGCCCAGATTGAGTCAGGAGGATATAGAAAACCTAAACAGACCAATATCAATTGAGGAGATAGAAGAAACCATCAAAAGACTACCAACTAAGAAAAGCCCAGGTCCCGATGGGTATACAGCAGAATTTTACAAAACCTTTAAAGAAGAACTAATACCAATATTTTTCAAGCTACTTCAGGAAATAGAAAAGGAGGGAGAACTTCCAAATTCATTCTATGAGGCCAACATCACCCTGATACCTAAACCAGACAAAGACACTTCAAAGAAAGAAAACTACAGACCAATATCTCTAATGAACCTAGATGCAAAAATCCTCAATAAAATTCTGGCGAATCGGATACTAAAACATATAAAAAAAATTGTACACCATGATCAAGTAGGATTCATCCCTGGGATGCAAGGCTGGTTCAATATACGGAAATCAATAAATGTTATTCACCACATCAATAGACTTAAAAATAAGAACCATATGATCATCTCGATAGATGCGGAAAAAGCATTTGACAAAGTACAGTATCCCTTTATGTTCAAAACTCTAGAAAAACTAGGGATAACAGGAACATACCTCAATATTGTAAAAGCAATCTATGCTAAGCCTCAGGCTAGCATTATTCTGAATGGAGAAAAACTGAAGGCATTCCCTCTAAAATCTGGAACAAGACAGGGATGCCCTCTCTCTCCACTTCTCTTCAACATAGTTCTCGAAACACTGGCCAGAGCAATTAGACAGACGAAAGAAATTAAAGGCATGAAAATAGGAAAAGAAGAAATTAAATTATCACTATTTGCAGATGATATGATTCTATATCTAGCAGACCCAAAAGGCTCTACAAAGAAACTATTAGAGCTAATAAATGAATTCAGCAAAGTGGCAGGATTTAAAATCAACACGCATAAATCAAAGGCATTCCTGTATATCAGCGACAAATCCTCTGAAATGGAAATGAGGACAACCACTCCATTCAAAATATCTTCAAAAAAAATAAAATACTTGGGAATCAACCTAACAAAAGAGGTGAAAGACTTATACAATGAAAACTACAGAACCCTAAAGAGAGAAATAGAAGAAGATCTTAGAAGATGGAAAAATATACCCTGTTCATGGATAGGCAGAACTAACATCATCAAAATGGCGATATTACCAAAAGTTCTCTATAGGTTTAATGCAATGCCAATCAAAATCCCAATGGCATTTCTTGTAGAAATAGAGAAAGCAATCATGAAATTCATATGGAAAAATAAAAGACCCAGAATAGCAAAAACAATGCTAAGCAAGAAGTGTGAATCAGGCGGTATAGCGATACCAGACTTCAAACTATACTACAGAGCAATAGTAACAAAAACAGCATGGTACTGGTACCAAAACAGGCGTGTGGACCAATGGTACAGAATAGAGGACACAGAAACCAATCCACAAAACTACAACTATCTTATATTTGATAAAGGGGCTAAAAGCATGCAATGGAGGAAGGATAGCATCTTCAACAAATGGTGCTGGGAAAACTGGAAATCCATATGCAACAAAATGAAACTGAATCCCTTTCTCTCGCCATGCACAAAAGTGAATTCAAAATGGATCAAGGAACTTGATATCAAATCAGAGACGCGCCGTCTGATAGAAGAAAAAGTTGGCTACGATCTACAGTCGGTGGGGTCGGGCTCCAAATTCCTCAATAGGACACCCATAGCACAAAAGTTAATAACTAGAATCAACAAATGGGACTTACTCAAACTAAGAAGTTTTTTCTCAGCAAAAGAAACAATAAGAGAGGTAAATAGGGAGCCTACATCCTGGGAACAAATCTTTACTCCTCACACTTCAGATAGAGCCCTAATATCCAGAGTATACAAAGAACTCAAAAAATTAGACAATAAGAGAACAAACAACCCAATCAACAAATGGGCCAAGGACCTGAACAGACACTTCACAGAGGAGGACATACAGTCAATCAACAAGTACATGAAAAAATGCTCAACATCTCTAGCTGTCAGAGAAATGCAAATCAAAACCACCCTAAGATACCATCTCACTCCAGTAAGATTGGCAGCCATTAGGAAGTCAAACAACAACAAGTGCTGGCGAGGATGTGGGGAAAAGGGTACACTTGTACATTGCTGGTGGGACTGCAGATTGGTGCAGCCAATTTGGAAAGCAGTATGGAGATTTCTTGGAAAGCTGGGAATGGAGCCACCATTTGACCCAGCTATTCCCCTTCTTGGTCTATTCCCTAAAGACCTAAAAAGAGCATGCTACAGGGACACTGCTACATCGATGTTCATAGCAGCACAGTTCACAATAGCAAGACTGTGGAACCAACCTAGATGCCCTTCAATAGACGAATGGATAAAAAAAATGTGGCATTTATACACAATGGAGTATTACTCTGCATTAAAAAATGACAAAATCATAGAATTTACAGGGAAATGGATGGCATTAGAGCAGATTATGCTAAGTGAAGCTAGCCAATCCCTAAAAAACAAATGCCAAATGTCTTCTTTGATATAAGGAAAGTAACTAAGAACAGAGTAGGGACGAAGAACAGGAGAAGAAGATTAACATTTAACAGGGATGAGAGGTGGGAGGGAAAGGGAGAGAGAAGGTAAATTGCACGGTAATGGAAGGAGACCCTCAGGGTTATACAGTGGAGGGGGTAGAGAGAGAGGAGGGGAGGGGAGGGGAGAGGTGGGGAGGGGGGAGGGTGGATGATGGGAAAGGCAGCGGAGCACAACAGACACTAGTATGGCAATTTGTAAATCAATGGATGTGTAACTGATGTGAATCTGCAATCTGTGTATGGGGTGAAGGTGGGAGTTCATAACCCACTAGAATCAAAGTGTGGAATATGATATGTCAAGAAATTTGTAATGTTTTGAACAACCCACAATAAAAAATTAAAAAAAAAAAAAAAAAAAAGAAAATGTTGCTCAAATGACTATGCAGGGAGTATAAATCAAAATTAATATTTATTTGAAAAGTAATATTATAAAAATATTTGAAATACCATGATTTTCTTAATCTAGCAAAATTGCCATTTACTTATTGTTACTCATAAACTTACCACGCATGCATATAGTTTTAGAAAGTCTTTAAACTCCAGATAACTTGATTCTTTATTTATTTATGTGCATGCCCTAGAGTATTCCATAAATACCAAGTCAACTGATTTGGCATCTGTGTCCACCTGGCCCTTATTGAACTCTTTTAGATAAATCATGGGGAGTTGGGTAAAGAAAGTGGATGGGTGGATTGGTGGATGGATGGATGGATAGATGGATAGATGGATGGATAAATTTCAGGGCATTTTCACACTTCTCCTGCAGTTGTATTAGGAAAACTCTATCTTAATCATTTTTGTGATATTGAGGTTTGCAAGGATATTTATGTCCTTGGGAGATAATGTGAAGAAAGACAATTGCCTAGTCACAAAAATATCTGCAGTTGCTGTGTAAGATCTTAATGCATTGTCTATTTAACTTATTATCTATATTAGCAAATAGATAACAATAGTAAGAGTAAATAGTCCTTTTTATTTAGTCAGGAAAACCACCTTATTATAGATAGAGGAAAGCAAATATTTAAATTTGTGTCACCTTTTGCCTTGTAATTGGTAGTATGAGTAAATACCCTTACTTGCTAGTATTTAGACTCAAACAAACAAACAAACAAAAAATTCCAAATGTTGGAAGTCAGTGGACTCTGCCAGAATCACTTGGGATGACAGACATGAGTAAGAATTTTTGTGTAAATAGATGTTGATGAAACATGACTGCTTTGTCTCCATTCTGTGAAGTTTTTCTTAACTTCTGAAACTTATTTTTTGGCAAGCAATTAAGGTTCTAACATCTTTTTAAATAATGAGAAAGAAACCAGAGGTAGAGAAATAACTCATATTACAAATCTAAATATAATGATCTCTATAAAATTCTAAATGACACTGTATTGGGAGAGTTGACAGGAAGATAGTTTTGGCTGTGTTCCAGCACATGTGACCAAGATTTAAGGTGGACAGCCAGAACCTCTTTGGTGCAGTACTTCTCATCTCATGATTCTTTCAACAAACCGTTTTGTCCAATTTCATATTGACTTTCCTTTCTTCATCAAGGGTGCACTAGGAGGCCTCATTACTGGAATCACTTTATCATTTTGGGTGGCCATTGGGGCCTTCATTTACCCTGCACCAGATTCTAAGACATGGCCTTTGCCACTATCAACAGAGCAGTGTTTTCAATCAAATGTGACGACAGCAGCACCTCCAGAGCTATCTAACAGGTATGTCGCCTTTAAATATGTCAGACATTGCATCTCAGAGATCAGGACGCCAGTTTAGAAAAAAGTGCATTCCTCAGGGTTAAGGCTGATGAGATGCATTTTGTTCTCCTAAGAGAATTCCAGAACCCAGCACTGAAGAGCATTATGTAGGACTGTTGCTTTCTTCAGATAGCTGTTTCTCTGTACTCAGGTATACGACAGTGAACTGGGAGAGCGATAAATTGGAGATATGAGTGCAAAACAGAAAAAGATTAGTAGAGGTTTAAAAATAGATGGGTGGGTATGAGGATCATAGTTCCCTTAAAAGTATAAAGATTATGAGTAGAAGAGACTGTGAACAGTGAGGAAAATGATTATGAAAATACTAGGTTGGGAACCTAAGTCTTCTAAATCAAGCTATGTGAACACATGTGCTAACAAAGAATTTTCATTTCTATTTATGGATGGGTTAAGACATCCAAAGATACCAAAATACAGAATATAACTATGATGTAGGGAGAATACCATGGACTCTCAAATCAGAAATAACCTAGATCTGGATTTTGCTTTTACCATTAATCTACTTGTATCATTGAACAAATTAGGAATTGATCACTTCTTGCATTCTAGAATCCCTTGATTTAAAATGAGGTTCTTAGCATTTATTTTACTGGGTTTTGAGAGGATAAAATTAGAATATACACACACAAATATATATATGTAGTGTATATGTACATGTGTGTGTGTATGTGTGTGTGTATATATATATATATATATATATATATATATATATATATATATATACACCACTGTATCTTGGTGTAATAATGTACATTCTAACATTCTAACTGAATATAGGGGCAAGTCCAGGAATATAAAATTTGTGATCCTCAGATTTGAATGACTCTTTTCTGATTCTCACCAATGCTTACCTTTTTGGCTTATTTTCACTGGGCTTAACTTTCTAAAAATTGTCAAATAATTTTGCAAATTATGTTTATGGATATCTCTGTTCCGGGCATATCTTTTCCTTTCCATTTCCCTTGTCAGTCCTGAGGGTACTCTCAGCATTTAAAAAAAAAAATTAGGACAGTGAAGTTATTCTATTTGTCCTTTTGGTTGCTCACCTTTCTCTATCTTCTCTTCTAATCCACTCTATCCAAAATGTTCACTAGATGTATTCTCCTGAAGCAATTTTCTGAGTTCATGACTGCCACACCAAGGTAACTTAAATCTTCTGTCTACAGAAAAAAGGACAGTATTTTTTTTAAAGAGAGAGAGAGAGAGAGAGAGAGAGAGAGAGAGAGAGAATTTTAATATTTATTTTTTGAGTTTTCGGCGGACACAGCATCTTTGTTTGTACTTGGTGCTGAGGATTGATCCCGGGTCGCTCGCATGCCAGGCGAGCATGCTACCGCTTGAGCCACATCCCCAGTCCCAGGACAGTATTTTTTTTTTTTACCGTGGAATGAAATGCCTTTCAGGAAATGTAGAAATTTCCTGTGGGTCCTGTTATTTCCCACCCTTCTCCTTCTATTCTAGATCCTCCTCTTTACTTTATATATACTCCACTCTTTTCTACTTTTAATCAAGGTATTCATTTCAAAGGAATTCCTTTTAACATTTATTTCTACTTAGAATCTACTCCTCTTTCAAGATGCAGATTAGTGTCCCCATATTCCCATAAATAAATATACATAATGTATATTAAATAAATTAAATGTTTACACACACACACACACATATATATATTTAGATTTCTAAGATAGTCAAAATTTGAAAAGACCTTTTCTAAACAAATTATCCTTCCATTCTTAAAACTTTTCTACAACCCTGGCATCTTGAAGGCTATGCTTAAAACAACCTCTCAAGGCATTCTAGGCATTGTCTGAATCCTCCCAGTGCCACCAGTTATACCTTATTATTGTTTCCTCTTGTATTGCTTTCTCTTCTGTCCTTCTACTTCTTTCCCCCCTTTGACCGAGCAACATCCTCAGCCATATTTTGTATTTGATTTAGAGGCAGGGTCTCACTAAGTTGCTTAGCTCCTTGCTTTTTCTGAGGCTGACTTTGAACTTGAGATCCTTCTGCCTCAGTCACTGGTATTACAGGGGTGCACCACTGTGCCTGGGTATCAGCTCCTTTTTATAAGGGAAAAGAGCAAGGAGGAAACAACAAATAATTTTAATTTATTCCACTCTTTCCATACTGAAATCTGGGTTCATCTTTATCTTCACCTCATAGCTTATTTTTGTAAGCAGTAAGGATGTCTTATTACTTGCGATGCCATCCAGCGATGGTGACTCTGAATACAGGGAAGATGTCCTTAGGTGTAGCAGGGTTAGCCAGATTAGAAAAAGAAATTTCTAGCATAGTTCCATTTCTGTTTCCACATAATATTAAGTAAGAGGGCACATTCAAAAGTTGAAGATGGGTCTTCTGACATTTATTAAGTTTTTTTTTTTAAAGCAGTAGTATTCATTTGAAGCTACCAGCTGAGTGCATGTAAGCAACCAGCTATGTGCTGCATTTTCCAATGCCTGCCAACTGTAAATGGATAGTTTTTCCTAAGATGTAAAATTAAGCTGCCTTTGGTTCATTGTTTCATAGGATATGGTGGCATTGTAATAAATCAATTACTTCACCGAGAAAGGAAATAGATCCTAGTTGCTTCTATGGGAAATCTGCATCTAGACTCCATTTGAATCACTACCAGTCAAATTTCCCAGGAGTTCAACAGTCATCTCTGCCTCCTTTTCTGCAAAAGACATGCAATGAACTCTCTTTATCTAGCATGTTAGCTCTTTATACTATTGAGTAAGTGGAGAACTGCTCTGGTTCTTCCTGTAGGGTGAAGTAGGTAGAGCTCAGTATGGAACACTGAGCAGGTGGTCTTTGCTAAACAGCATATGGACACCCCTTTATCTTATCATGCTTCTGTTTTTCCTCTGAGATTCAGTTAGAGTCCTTCCTTTCCATAAGTCTTATGGTTGAACAATATCAAACTTTATATGTCTCAATCTGCCATACTATTTCTTTCCTCTTGCCTATGTTTATTATCCTCCTTTTTTAGAATATGAAATTGTGTTCTTGATTACTCTCTTTTCTGATTAGTAAACATTCTTTAAAATGAACTGAAGTACAGTCTTACACATCCTGTCACAATCCTTTGTTCTTGTTCCACCATGCATTTCCAAGTCCATTTTGTGATTTTCTGTTAGTTCATATATGTAGACAATGGCTGTCAAAATTCCTGGCATTAAATCTGAGCTTAATACATGCCTGAAAGATAAATAATACAAAAAGAATGGAAGACACAGTCCTCAATGAAATACTCGTAATTCAGTCTACACATTGCAATATTTGTAATACAGGGATGATTTGAATCTGGTGGAATATGAAGCACAGGTAGTGTCTAATTAAAATGTTAAGCTTTTGGGTTTTAAACAATGCCAGGCCCTAAAAGGAGCCTGAGCGGTCCTTCAGATCATTGTGAATGACAACATCAGAATAATTGAAACTGGTGACATATGCTATTGTTACCCACAGGCCCACCATTGCTGATACCTGGTACTCACTCTCCTACCTTTACTACAGTGCTGTGGGCTGCTTAGGATGCATTATTGCTGGAGTAATCATCAGCTTCATAACAGGTTGGTTACTTGGATTTCTTTTTTTGACTCTAAAGAAGATAGAGCTCCTTCTTGCATTTGTGGACTATGTGGCTATCTTACTAGTTTGATTTCAGGTCTACCACAAAAGGCTTTTTCCAGAGACATATGTCTACTCTCCACAAGTAACACATAAGAACATTCCCCTGATTATTATGGATCTGATTATTAATATGTATGATATATGTATTGAATAGAAAAGGCACTTTGAAATATGCTCCCCCAGAGACATGAATGTGAAAAATCTTCTATAACAGAACAATCATTAAATCTAAATAGCAAGAGTGTTTCTTTTCCCCTCCTCTTAATAAGAGACTATTTTTTTCCCCATTACCACCTTACTATCTCATGGAATAAACCTTGGCTGATCTGTTAGATAAGAAGGGCAGAGTCTACTGTTGCCTTTTGGAAGCTGCTTTGCTAGGGTCAGTGATCAGCTTCACCCTAAGCCATTTTTGGTTCTAGGATTTACCATTGTACTTTGGACCATAGTTTCTCTGATGACTCAATATCCTTTTAATGCCAAAGTTCACAATGTAATAGGTTAGAAATGGGTTAGAAATGGGTGGAATGGGCCTACCACATTCTTGTTCGACTTTCCTATGCATCTTAACTAAATAAATTATTAAGGTATTCTCCTTTTATGCTACCATTATATACTTACAAGCAATCAGCACTCAATATTTCTACTCAACACAAAATCTCCATGGTAGCCTTCCTGCTGATTTTGGACTGGAAATGCTACATGCAAGTTGCAATGCCTTATCATTCTGAGTATGACCCCTTTAGCCATTCATTTAAATTTGAGGATATCTTGGGTATGATAAAGAACAGAGCATAAATATTGTGGCCCTAGGCTTTCATGTGAAAATTCTCCAAATTTCTTCATGAAAAATGATTTCACATGCAAGTTTGTTTATTTTGTTTAGATGTTTCATTAGTATCCTGACTACAGTTGCAGCTTTTGTGCTGCGAGTAGGATATACCTAGCTCTGTTAATAAGTTGGTCACTCTCCAATTAAGAGGACAGCTAAACCTTCAACTTCCTGATTGCAAAGCAGAATATGTGTACTCAAGTCCTTTGACTGGCTAGTCTATGTATTTTCCAAATGAACATAAGAATCGACATATTCCTGTGCTGATACATCAAGGTTTGTTTTACATTTGGATTGAAAATATTTTTGTTATCTTGAGCATGAACAATCATCCTGATACAATCCCTATCTTTTCTTTATTTCCAAATGTCTGGAATCTTAAGGAAATATCCTTAAGACCAAGAGGCAGCACTTTAATAGGGTCTAATGCCACTAAATCTTTGAAAAAAATATTGGTCCTGGTGGCCACATGTTTCTACTTCTTGGTGCCTATCTTTTTAAATGAGGTTCTGGTGCTCATTTGGACCCTGAGGTCTGGTCACTAAGGGATTTTCAGAAACCTTCCATCATGCCCACTGAATGTTTTTTAAAAAGACTAAAACTGTTTAAATTTTGTGGGATAAATTTAGTAGATAAGGCGGGGCTCTCTGAGTCTGTTCTCTTGTACCATATTCAAACTTAGTCTTGCTTGGTCTTAAAAGGGATGGTTTCAATTCTACTTCTCCCAGATAATCATATCCCTCATACTTGTTGACAAATGTAATTATTTCTATTGAGTAGCACCTTAAGGCTTTCTAAGTTATTAATCCTAATCTGCATCAGCTACTAGAAGGTGATATTGGACCCAGATATACTTTAAAGTATATATACTTTATGACTGGCAAAATTCTACTGGGAAGCTGAAAGTTTCTTTTTTTCACTATTTTTTAATGTGAAATGAAAATACCATTTCCTAAGTCAAGAGCAAAAATCATTCTTCGTTGGTTAAATGGCCAGAATATCCCATTGTCAGGAGAGCAAGAACAGCTTTATGCCGCTCTGATTTTCAGCCCTTCATATTTAATTGAATCTTATCAATTTTATGTCACCTGCCATGTGTCTGGAAGTCTTAGATACAAAGCCTTCAGTCAGCCCATTATTTTTATCTGTTATGTCAATTTTTGTTCAACTAAGGCTAACTCTAACCTACCACCTGTTTTTGTAAGTAAAACTTTATAAAAACACAGCATGCCTACCATTTTACTCTTATCTGATTTCACTCTACTAAGATAGGGTTAATCATTAAACATAGAGTCTCTGGCCAGCAAAATCTTAAATATTTACTATTTAGCCTCTGACAGAAAAAAATTTGTTGATTCTTGCCCTAGATCATTGATCTTTTTGGAGAACATTAATGTAGGACTTTCTAAATCAATAGGAATTGTGTAGCTCTATATTGACACTATGATGTAGCTCATTCATCTTCTATCTTTCAGTTTGCTGCTGACAAATTCTATGCTATTTTCATTCCTAATTTTTATATGTGGCCTACTTGAATTTAGTCTCTCACTCTCTTCTCTCCCTTTTCTCCTCTTTTCTTTTTTCTTTCTCATACACACTTATACACATACCTTTCTCATTCTGTTGAAACTTCAAGAACAGTGTCTTTTTTCCCAAAGTTTCTGACATTTTATATTCTCCCATTAACTCCTTTTTCATTTCTGACCTAGCTTTTCTGACTTCCAGTATAGCCTATGTTTTGAAATCAGGGATTCTATATTGGGCTAGGGGGCTTGTGCTCTGCACAGGGTGGCCAGCAGAGGAGACAAATGGGGAATGGATTCCATCCCCAACTCAGCACCTTGGCATATAGTTGCCTCTGTTCAGAGAAAAGGGGAACGTTTCCAAATTCTCCCAAAGTTGCAATACAACTCATGACATTTCTTCTTCATCTGAGAACTTCTTTTTGCATTAAAAAAACCCAAAAAACCCCATTTGTCTACAGGAAATGGTCTTGTCCCCTGTGACCTTCTCCTTTCACACGCATACGTCTGTAGTCCAATAGTCTAAGTTCAGTCATGCCCAGTCCCCAAGGTCTTACTCATAATTAAAGCCATAAACCCAAGATTTAAGTTTCGTTTTCTTTTTTAACTTCCTACTCATGAGAACTATAGCCTTGTACTTTGCTTTACTCTCTACAATCTCCCAGTCATTATTTTTTCTAGATGGAAACAGGTCCTAAATCTATATGAAACAAAGAGCCTTTTATTTGTTAGCAAACCTCAAATCCATATTATTTATTGGAGTGTTTGATAGTTTAGTGGTCTATTCAGAGACAACTATCTTCTTTTTAAACCCTGGGAGTAGTTTGGTTCTAAGTTAAATTCTTCTGATTCAGAATCATGATTGGAGAGTAGTTTGAGGTTTTGCCCAGTCCTACTGCCCATACACATTAGGGTAAATTGGGTGTTATAGGCTTTATTACCATGTATGGTTAATTTCTTGCTCCATCATTTAGTAGGTCTTAAGAAAATTCCTTAGTAACAACACTTGCCTAGCTATAAGGAGTAATTTAAGTATAATGTGCCTAATTTGTAGAAGGCACTAATTGATAAATATTATTGTCAATAGCAGTAGAGTTCTATTTTGGTCAAATATCTCTTGACAGACTCATATAATGCCACGGAATATCTTATTTGAAAATCAACTTGCAATTTTGAAAATCTAAATTTTGTATGTTCCTAGAAAGAAATTTGAGGGAATGCTCATGGATGGGCACACTGTCTAGTGCAAGGAGGAATCTGCTTGATACGTGTAACTCCTGTTCCCCTATTTCTTCTAGGTCCTTTAGACTAATCTAGCTATCAGACTCATGGCTAACATTTAATGAGATTAAGTATTCATAAATAGCCTTGATAAAACCAAATTTGCAAAGGTTTGGGGAGGAGGAACATCATGAACCTTTAAATCTTGTTTTGATCATCATTGTGAACCTTGTTCAAAAGCAGGATTTGAAGAAATGGAGCACTGAACAGATATGTTTTAAGGAAAAAGAGACATGAAGAGTGTCTAGAGTGGTTGGGGAGAAACGATGGGATTGCTTATCCAGGAGGACAGATAGAAGGAAACACTATAATTTAAAAATAACGTCTTAAATAACCTTGGATATTATATCTGATTTGGATAAAAGCTAAGAACTTTCTTGAATAAATATAATTCCTGATTTCCCCTTTGTGTTGGCCTGTGAAGGTTATTAGTAGATTTTTCCATTCTAAACATTTTTAAATAAATGTGTTTTCTCTGTTTTACTCTATAGACATGAGTTTGCCTGAGCTGACAATTCATGGTTTTCTTAAAACCAACTCCAACCCCTTTCTTTCAGGAGTTCTATTTATTCTTTCCAGTTATATTTATTAACCTGTCAGGCCTGTTTTCACCCTTTTACTAAGAAGCAAATTACTTCTCAAGTTGACTACGCTTAAATCCTGGAAGCCTTTAACCATCTAATCCACCTGTCCTTTTGTTAATAGGTCACCAAAGAGGCAAGGATGTTGACCCACTCTTAATTAGACCAGTTTGCAATTTATTTTGCTTTTGGTCTAAGAAATATAAAACTCTGTGCTGGTGTGGAGTTCAGCATGACCGTGGGACAGAGCAGGTGAGCAGATTAAGCTTTTAAATCCAAACATTAGCTCAAAGAGATTCCTGTTTTGCCCATTTTGAGCCAGTAGCAAGGGGTGCGAGTGGGGGTTGGTGAAGGAAAGCAGTGGATGTTAGAACTTGAAAGAATCTAGGTCTCAACTTCAGAATTTCCTCAGCTGATTACCTTTCAAGCATATGAACACAATAGGTAAATGTGCCTTGGATCTGAATTGCTAGCATTGCAAGTGACCTATTTTCAAAGTTCCTTTTAACCCCATGTGAAGGTGAATTCTAGGCAAGAAAAATAAATAATAGGGAACAAGGAGCCTCAGTCTCAGTAAAGGCTAAAAGCCTGGGTTTTAGATTCACATGCTTTGGGACTAATCCAGTCCCATGTCTGTCTTTCCTTCGATGAGTTATTTAACTTCTCCAAATTTCAGCTTTTTTGTCTGAGAACTGAGCATGGGGGCAGGTGATTGTGCAGAATGAAGTGGACAGAGAGACACTTCTTGTTCTTTGGGGTAAAAATATACAATATTGAGAGAACTCACAGGCAGAGATGCAGAAAGAGGCACCTAATTTCCCAGTCTCTTTACTCCATAAGGGCAGTTAGGCCAAACCAAGCTAGACGCACTATCTGAGCACTATCAAGTTCTCATCAGCCAAGAACCATCAGGAACAGCCTACAGTCTGATCAAGTTGGACTTATTGACTTGATGCAGCATGCTGGGGTGCTGCAAAGGACCCACATAATACCACCTTCCACAACAGTGGGGTGTGGACATATCTTTTGCATGTTTTGGGCTTTTGCTGAAGGATTCTGAGAGGTGTTAAAGGGAAGCAGGAAATAAATCTAAACTTCCCTGGTCAGTATTGGTAAGAGCACAATAGTCAGACAAAGTGTTATTATGAAATGTGACAGCAACAGGATTTCAAGGAAGCAATATTTCCTGCCAGTTTGTAGCTGGCTCATCAGTCTGCCCTCCCAACTTGATTAATGGCAGGAGTGATCTTTTGGTTTTCTGGTTTTTGGTTTTCGGTTTTCTTTTTTAGGTCAAGCTTATTTTCACCTTTTCATCCCCATTTTATCCTCATAGAACTTGAGACTCTTAACCTATATCATATCATTTATTTTTCATCTGTCAATTGCTATCTTCCCCATAATTGTGTTATGACATAAAGCTAAATTTAATATCTATTGCATTTGGGAATAGCACCATCTTTTTGTGGCTCAGAATGGGTTCTAGGATCAAGAGATTTTAGGAGGATATTTAAATGCAAATGCAGGGATGTAATTAAAACTGGACAAAACCATGATATGAAAGTTCAAAATAGGAAAAAGGAGAACTGAGCTGGGTGGGGGTACTGAAGCCAGTCTTCTTGGAAAGTAAGCAATGGCTTAATAAATAAAAAGTTGGCCCTATTCAACACTGTAGAGTTCTGAGAGGGCACGATTCATCCAGATCAGCAATTTAGTTTTCTAAGAAGGCAGTAGTTGAACAGTGCATTGTTTGTGTAAGTGGATTTCAAGGAAGTTCTTGAATCAAGTTAAAGACTTATTTCCTGAGTGAGAATTTCCTCATATATAAGTAATAAATTGTGTTAATATGAGAAGCGTACATTCTCAAGATTTGCATTGAGACTGGGAGGGAAGACTTAGGGTGTAACTGTTAGGTACCTTTGCCACAAAACATTGAGTTGTCTGCAGGAGAGATTACATGCAGGTATTTCCATTAGCCTCCAGAGGGTTTGCTGTTCACAGGTAGGAACAGACCACTGCCACCTGAATCACAGGACTGTCTGTCCTCATGCTGTAAGGAACTACCTCATAGTATTGCTGTATTAAATGAGAGATGTATAAATATCCTCAGGTAACACAAAACATTGTAAATGCTCAATAAATTGTTGTTTTGTTGTTATTATTATCAAGATTGTCAGTTAAGCAGTCTAGGGTAGTTATTGGACCATTTTTGTATAGAGTCATTATTTGAAAGGGAGACCTGAGTGATATCCCTCTAGGTGGGTTGGAGTAACCTTGACTATTTTGTTACTATGTGTCTTTCCATTTTTCTCAGGATAACCTTGAGAATGGCGGTGCCTGGAAACAAGGGGCTGAATCTGTCTTGCAGAATGGACTCCAGCAAGAAGGCCTGACTCATGTTCCAGGATATGACCCCAAGGAAAAAAGTCATGACAATATGGCATTAGAGAAGATGACCTATTTTTAGGACAATACATGCAAGCGTGTACATATACACGAAAACACACACACACACACACACACACACATACACACACACACTTCTTGCCTAATGTTAGTAGAGATGTATAGCAGTCATTATTAGAAGAAAAGGCTGCTCAATATCTATTTATACTTATTTATACAAATGAAATGACTGTTCCCTAGGACATTCTTTGCAGATCCCCAGTTTGAAGTTACAAAAAATCAGCAATGCTCTACATGCCCGGGGATTTCCTTCTTTAATAAATTAGGACTAGATTTCATCATAGTGGAAGGAGTCAAAGAATATGATTTGTGTCATATAAAACTTCAGGTTTTTGTGTTTATTTTGTTCTCTGTGTGTGTGTGTGTGTGTGTGTGTGTGTTAGAGATTGAACACAGGGCCATGTTCATGCTAAACACCTGTTCTACCACAGTGCTAAACCCCCAGCCTATTTTTTGTAGTTTTAACCATCAATATCTTAGAGCTATAGAAGCAGAATGGGAAAAGGGAATCTGCCTAGTAAATGCTACCCTGACACTGTTGGTAAAATGAGAATGATGTTGTTTGCAACCTCATGCCTCACATATATGTAGACAAATTTTAAAACCCACCCCACATCTGATAGCTCTAGTGGAACACTTAAATGCGACAAGCATCCTCCTACTGCCACATTTGAGCCTCTTTTAGTCATTACCACTACTAGAGCTGTCTGACCAAACTTTAAAGAAAATACTACAAAGCACAGAAAGGAGACAAGGGTGTCTGATCAGTGGGAGCAGTTATAACTCAATGCTGTCTTCCCTTCATGGTGCAGGGATTTGTTTCTTCTTCCTTTCCATCACCTTACAAACACAAATTGATTCTGCACATAACAAGAAGTCTGGAGTTTTTCTCTAAGATAAGGTCAGGAGAAAAAGAGCATCTTTTTGATATAAGGGTTTTTTTTTTTTTTGTTCTTTATATATTTTGGATATTAATTCCCTGTCAGAAGAATAGCTGGCAAAGAGCTTCTTCCATCCTGAAAGTTATTCTCTACACACTCTTGTTCCTTTTGCCGTTCAGAAGCTTTTTCATTTGATGCCACCCCATTTATTGGTTCTTAGTTTTATTTCTTGAGCATTAGGAGTTTGTTAAAGAAGTTGGTACCTATGCCAGTATGTTGGAGTGTGTTTTCTTCTAGCAGTTGCTATGTTCTCTAATTCCTAGATCTTTGAATCCACATTGACATGACTTTTGGACAGGATGAGATATAGGGATCTAAATATTTAGTTTTCCCAACAACTTTTGTTAAAAAAGATATCCTTTCCCAAAGTATGTTTTTGGAAACTTGTCAAGTAGAAGATGACTGTATCTATGTGAATTTGTCTCTGCATTTTCTATTCCATTTCATTGATCTTTATGTATATTTTTATGTGAATGCAATGCTGGTCTAGTTTGTTTGTTTGTTTGTTTTTACTATAGCTCTGTAGCATATTGAGGTTTAGTATTCGGAGACCTACAGAATCACTCTTCTTGCTCAGGATTATTTTGTTTTTCTGGGTCATTTATTTTTCCGTATGATTTTAGGATTGTTTTTCTAGTTCTTAAGTATTTTGATGGGATTGCATTGAACTTGTGTAGTGCTTTTGGTGGCCATTTTGACAATATTAATTTTTGTCCATCCAAGAACATGGATGTTCCCATCTTGTAAGGTCTCTTCAATTTCTTTCTTCAGGCTTCTATAATTGTCACAGTAGAAGTTTTTCACCTCCTTGGTTAGATTTATTTCCAGATAATTTTTGAGGCTATTGTAAATGGATTTTTTTTTTTTTTTTTTGATTTCTTGCAAAAGTCTGTTAGGACATCCAGTTCATATGTGCTAGCTCACCTTGCTCCAACAGATGTAAGGACCCAATAACCAAACTGTAGAATATAATTTTTAAAGTTCTAGATCAAGAGGGTAAATCACAGAAAGTGTTTAGCCCTGTGATTGTCCATGCAGAACATCCACTGTTATTCTGTGGTATATTAAGAAAACTGTGTTCATTTTAATTTAAATTATTTTTTTGTTTCTCTTTGGGATTTTCAAGATACTGGCTTAGAATGTATATTGCTACTATACTTTGAGTATTAGAAATGAGATAAACATAAGGTATAAATTAAAAGTCATGTCACAAATTCCCCAAAAGTAGTTTTTCAAAGAATAGATAGAATATATTAGAATTTAACTTATATGCCATTTTGCAGAAAATAACTTTTCTAAAAGTCCTAAATTCTTAAAAATCAAAATGCTGTTATGAAGATGCATAAGTTTATTTCTGAAAATGCAATATTCATAGCTGTGATTTATTAAGCCTTACATTTGTATATGTGAGTGTGGATTAGTAAGCAGCCTCTCAAACCAAATTTACAGCTCAATAATAATTGCAACTGATAGTCAAAACAACAACAAAAGAGAAGGGGCTCCTTCTTTGTTTAGATCAAACTATTTTCTGAATATTAATTCTATTATTCTGTGACTATACGGGATAATATCATTTCATAAAAAGAAAATACAGGTTACAGGAATTTCAAACCATATTTAATAGAAAAGATTACTTAAATATTTTACAGCAGTACAATCTTAAACATTATTGCAATGATCACAAACAATAGTCTTTCTTTAATTGTTTCCTTAGAAATAAATTGTCTAAAAAATTACAAAAATGTTGACTGTATATGTGTACATTTATATATTTAGAAATAATATGTGCTTATTTTAAATATTGGAAAGTAGCTGGATTTTGTTAACCACTTTTTTCCAGCATTAATAACCTTGTAGTATAACCTAGTTCCAAACAATTCAAATGTATTTGAATTATCGGTGGTACATATGAAAATGATACAGAATTCTAAACGAATCAATTATAGCTCAGAGTAAATTATCTAAAGGGTTATTATTATTTGTAATTTTTGGAAACAGATAATATTATTTCCTTTCTCATCCAAAATCCTGATTTGGTGAATGTAGTTTGCAAACTCCTACATGAATAACAGTCTTCAGTCTACTTTTCCAATACTGTACTTTGGTATTTGAAGTATAGTTACTTTCAGAGGAGAGTTAACTTTCTATATATTTGGTTACTTTATCATTACTTGATCTTTACCTGGAATATGAGGCTTTTGTCACAAATTGGAAAAATAGCCATTGGAGGAAAATGTCAGCAATGATATTCTCTATATCAGTAGGAAGTTTCATAAGTGGATTTTGCATTTCAAAAATATGCATCTTTTAATTTTAGAGTCCTGGAATACTTCAAAAAATAGTGGCATGTTTATACAATTAGTTAATCTTAGGAAAAAAATTTCTGGAGAATTATTTGTAATTAAGGTATATAATTATGTTTATTTTAAAAATAAATTCTGGTTGAAGATCAATATCAATATTTCTTCTATGGATGGAATGTAAAAGAGTCATCTACCCAAAAATCTTCAATGTAAACCTGATAGGTTAAGGCATGTCTAGCAGGTGACTAAGTAAACATGTCATGGTAAGCTTTGCCATATTATATAACATGGATTCCTTTATGATGTTTTGGATAATGCCTGTAATATTTGGCCCACTGATACTTAGGATCCATACACACTTGCACACACACACGCATGTAAACACACACAAAGTAAACAACAAGAGAGTTTTTATAACTAAACAATCAGGTTACTATAAACAAAGTAAAACAATATATAATGATGCTACCTTTTGTGGACACTAGCCTATGTATTCTCAGGAATTTTCAGAATCACTTCAAGTAGCCAGGTGTGGTGGTGCTCACCTTAATCCTAGCCACACAGGAGGCTGAGGCAGGAGGACTGCAAGTTCAAAGCGAGGCCCTAAGAAACTTAGCAAGAACCTATCTCCAAATTAAAAAAAAAAAATATATATATATATATATATATATATATATATATAGGCTAGGAATATGGCACAGTGCAGTGGTTAAGCCACCGTGGGTTCGATACCCTGTACAAAAAAACCCAAAAAACAAATTCATTTCAAGTGTACAGAACACCTAGTACTACCAATTACAGAACATTTTTTTGACACATTTCTAAGGCTAAGGATATTTCATGTGGTATATTTATTTAATGCCCTATTGTAATTGCATGTAAGAAAATAAACAAGTCCCAAATGGCTTATTTATATCAGTATAATAAGTCAGGTTGAATTTTCAGACAAGTGAGCAATAAGGCAATGCTACTCATTGATTTAGAATATATATTATAAAGATTTATAGATTAACTTATCTTTACCGTTCATTGCTTTGAAGAATGTTGATCTATCGGCACTTCCTTAAATTTTGATTTTATTTATATCACCAGAGTAAAATTTATTTAAATTGACTTTAAATTTGTTGAGAGTTTGGAAAGAATGTTTAATGATTAAAAATACAGAACATAAATTTTAATGATATTTAGAGGGTCTATAGAAGTATAAACATTAACATTTATACTCATCTGGTTAAATATATGATTGCAACATAATTTCTCCTGTTGACAGGGGAAAAAATGGATGGAGGAAACTACTCTGTCACTTCTGGTCATCCTAAAATTCTTTTCTTAATTATAGATGCTAATAGCTTTTCTCTACTTCAAAAACACAATATGGAGGCCAATGGATATGAATCTTAAAAGATCAAAATTACATACACTTTTAAGTACATTTTTATCCTCAGTACTTAAAATTGTAGTTGCCAAAATTAAGCTTACTAGATTTAACTACATACGTTTTAACAGATTAGAAATAAAGAGATGAAGAAGATTTAAAAACTCTTCATTTCTTTTTTGAGAGTTTACAGATAAATTAAACCATGGTTTGGTTTTCAATCAGAAAGAAGACAGGGTGCATGTACAGCACAAACTGAACAGGACTTGCAGAGTAGACTCTTTGCCTAGGTAGGAAATCCCTAAGTTGCTTTCACAATCTCCAAAAAAAATTGCTTCCACAAATATCTTTGCCATCTCTTTTCTTAGACACAGGCACCAAGAAAAGTATCATCTGCTCATATTATTTTTCTATAAAAAGTATTCAATTTGGAGTAAAGATTTACCCAGTAGCACTGAATTCCATGGGCATTGACAAAATAATCATCAGGCAGCCTTTGTACCACAGCTGTCTAGCCACCTACATAACAATTGTGTTTACGGGGACAATGTAAGTAAATCTCATTTAAGCTTAGTTTTTCAACTAATAATTGAAGAAAAAAAAGGTTTCTGAAAATCAAAGAGAGTGGAGACATGGCTTTCTCCATGCAGAAAGAATTAAGATGGGGAAAAAGTGTCAAGGCAGTCAATGTAGTACAAGGCCTGGAGATTTCATTCCTTTCTTTTTAAGGAAAGATGTGAAATAACACCTTCACAGCTGATTGTCTAGTGCAATTCATACTTACTTAGAGCCAGGTGAATGTGGAACAAGAGCCTTTCTCAAGGGAGAGCTGTGCAGAAGCACACACTGGTCCAGTCTTAGAGTAGTGAGATTGATTTAGAGGCTGCTTCTCCCTGAGTATGGACTTTGATAGTACCAGAGAATGGAACTATTCCCAACTATGAGAATTTTCCCTACCCACATGTATGTTTTCATTTACTTTTTTTTTAAGATGTCTTAATGCAAGTGAGGCTAGGGTTCAGTGGCTATAACATTCATGTTCTCTAGAAGCCATTATATGGGGTCATGAGTATGGTTTTTCATATGAACTTAGATGGCAAGTTCAATTGAAGGGAATTTTTTCACCAAAACAAAGACACAAATCCTAGGTAGCAGGAACCTGCACTGATCAATGATTTGAGTTAAGGCCTACTTCATCTTTCTCTTGGACAATGTGTTGTCATATTTCACTTTGAACAGAAATGCATATAGGGAAATGTTTTCCTTTCTGTCAGAAATTAAATTAAAATATCAGGAATGAAATAAGATGTTAATTGATTCTCTGGACAAAACCTAGAACTACACTTGGGGTCCATTATAATACTGATTTGGGAAATAAATGGAATACAAATTTCTGATGACCATAGTAGGACTGAGTAGGGTATATCTCACAGACAACAGGTGACGAACATTTGAAAATGATATCCCGAGGCCTATCTTTAACTGCCACAAATTGACCAGTCCAGTCATATCAGTTAAGCAACTCTACAGGAAACCTAGATTTTCAATTTTGACCATCAAATCAATAAAAACAAAGCAGGTCAGTAGCTTTTGACTGAGTATTGGCTATAATGTTCTTGCAGGTTCTCCTTTCTTGGCATGTATTGTACCTGTGATAAAAGTGCTGTTCCAAGGAGTTTTGATGGCGGTTGATAGAGCCAACACATGCATGACAAAAAAAAAATAAATAAGTACTTATGTCTGATGAGAGTGTTATAGTGTTGATATGAAGCATCCCCCCAAAAATTCTTCTGTGAGACAATGCAAGAACATTCAGAGGTGAAATGATAATATTATTAAAGGTGTTACCTAGCTGGTGGATTAATACACCGGGATTAACAGATTAACTGAATGGTAGCTGTGTGTACTAGAAGGGAGTCACTGGAGGTGTGCCTTTGTGGTTTATATTTTGTTCTTGTGAATGGAGCTAGCTCTCTCTACCTCCTGGTTGCACATTCTGAACTGCTTTCCTTAGCTACAACCTCTGCCATGGTGCTCTACTTTACCTTGGGTGCAGAGTTATAGAGCCAGCTGTCTATGGACTGAATCTCTGAAGTTGTTACCTCCAAATAAACTTCCTCCTTTGAGCTGTTCTTTCAGGTATTTTGCTCACAGCAAGGAAAATGAAGTAAAACAGAAATTGGTACTGAGAAGTGGGGTTATTGCTATGATTAACCTAACCATGTGATTCAGTAATTTTTGGAACTTTTTTAATTTTGTAGGAAGAATTTTGAAAAGTTTAGAGATTCAGGACAGAAAAGCTTTGGAATATTGTAAGCAGACTTTAATAGGAAATTCTGGTGGGAACTTAGAAGACCAGAATGTTAACAGGACCGTGGACATTAAAGACTGGGCTCATGAGGTTTCAAAGCAGAAGGAGAACAATATTGGAAATTGGACTAGGGGATATTTGTGTTAAAATCTTGCAAAGAAATTTCTAAATTTTGCCCTTGTTCTAAAATTATCTTTGAGGATGAATTTAAATGTGGTTGCTAATTAATTTGGCAGAAGAAATTTCAAGACAGCATAGTATTCCAGCAGTGGCATAGATATTGCTAGTAGCTTGGATCCAAGTTCATTGTGATAATCAGAAGTAGAAAGCAGAGTGTAAAGATTTGAAAACACTCATTTTGTCCAGAAAAGTGGGAGTAAATATGGGGCCAAGAAAGATATGGTTGCTAAAGATGTTATAGCCATTGAAGAGATGCAAAGTACTTTACCAAGAGACAATAGGAGTACAGATTGACAGCATCTCAGGAATTGGCATGACCACACCCATCTCAGGATCAAGATGAGACCAGAGGGGTACCCTGATAGACAGGGGGGCTTAGGAAGCTGTTTCACAATGCTCCATCACCAGACACTCAGTAGTTGCTGAAGCCATGGTCCCAGGTGATTGGCTACTGCTTGTGATGGTACGAAAGAACTATATGGTTTTGGTGCTACAAGAATGCAGGATGTTAGAGTTAGGGGGTCATGGAGGCTACCACTGAGATTTCAAAGGAAAGCCTGAGGGGGCCAGGGAAAGTGTAATAGGGTAGGAGTCCCTGTGGGCTGCTCTTGAAAGTCTGATGCATGAAGATATGAGAAGGGAGCTAAGTCACATTAAAAGACAGACCATATAACATCTGCTGAAGAAAGCCATAGGAATCAGCTATGTAGAGGCAAAGCTGAGATCATCTTGATGCCATGTGACCCAAATACTGGACATGGAACTGTAGGACTTGTTTGATCAGCTAGATTTCAGTCTCATCTCTTCTTCCTGTGCCACTATCTCTCCTTTGTAGGGTGGAAATTTTTAAATATTGAAAAAATAGCACTTGATTTTTACAGAGTTTGAGAGTTTGCCTTGAGTCTCTGAGGAGATTTTGAACTTGGAGTTTTCCATATTGCTGGAACTGTTAAAACTATGGAGACTTTCAAAAATGGTCTAATATTTTTCAATATGAGATGGGCATGAGTTTCCAGGGGAGGAGTCTTATGATTTGGATATGCTGTGTTCCCCAAAAGCTCGTGTGAGAAAGTTCAGAGGTGAAATGATTAGGTTATGCGAGTCGTAACCTAATCAATGGCTTTATCCACTAACACGGATTAACTGGATGGTAACTGTAGGCAGATGGGGTGTTGCTGGAGCAGGTGGGTTACTGCATCCATGTATTAGGAGCTTATAGTTTATTCCCAGTGAGTGGAGTTAGCTCTCTCTTCTTCCTGGTAGCAATCTTCTGACCTATTTGCC